CCCGAGTCATTTGTAAAAAAATTTAAAGCAAAAATTTTGAAATTTGGTGAACACATCGCAGTCTCTCCCAGACGATGTGTTTTCCCATTGAAAGTTTGGGCCTTTTATTTTGTTTTATTGCATTTTAATTAATCGTTGCGTCCTGTTATGCCAATTGGAGGAGTTTACCAATGCAAAAACAACAACGATCCAATAAGAAAATTCACAAAGTCGACCAGGATTGGTCCAGATTACATTGTAACCAATGGCGGCAACAGAACAATTATATCCTATAAAAAGATGCATTTCCGGCATTTTTTAAATGACAGACGCTAATAAGGAGCAAGTCAAAATAGGAGATACAGGTCCGAAATCACCAACACCATCAGCATCATCGACAGAATCATATAAAAAGAAGGCGAGCAAATGGCTAAAAAAACTAAGTATTGGGTTCGCGAGCTTGAAGAAATCCACAGAAGACTCGGTCAATGGCATTCGTGCCAAGATGGGTGGCAATGATAAAGGGCCGGATGCTCCATCCGCCTCGTCCGCCCCTTCAGCCCAATCTACCCGATCCGCTCATTCAGCCCAGTCCACCCCATCTGCCCCTTCAGCTTCTTCCGCTCCGGATACGAAGGAAGAATAAGACACAGTTTAATTCTTGAATAAATTATTAATTTACAAAATGAGCGAAAGTTCCATCGACTATTATGCAATCCTTAATCTCCCAAAAGAGGTAACGCTATGGAGATTGTAACGATTGTAAGGCAACCGAAGATGAAATAAAAAAGGCATATAAAAGGATGTGTACGCTACTTCACCCAGACAAGGCTCAATATGATGCCGTTGATGATGGTTCCATTAATCTTCCTTTCCAGTCCATTTCTAAGGCATATTCTGGTAACGCTTTTACTAATTCATAGTTCTCTCAAACCCAGCTCAAAGATCGATATATGATGAATTTGGAATCAAAGGTCTTGAAAAGTTGTCTTCAATTTCCTCGGCTAATCCCAATTTTGTTTCCTCTGTAATTGCTTCATCAACGACCATGCCCTCCCAGCTAAAAAAAGCCATTGAGTGGCAAACCAATTTAGAAAAGGAAATTGCCGAAGAAGCCTCCATATCTAACAAAACCACGGTTGCAATTTCGACCGACATTTCAGATGCTCTGCCGTTTGCAGAGAGGGATTCTTTCGTTGCCAATCAAAAAAGCTCGGTTATCTCCTACCATTCAATGGTATTGTCTCATTCAATTCAGGTTAGTTTGTTTTTTTATGCCAGAAAACATTTGTGGCATCACAAACCACCGTTGAGCTACAATGTAGAACTGAATCAGGAAAAGGCGTTGATGAGTCTTCGTTTAGTACTTCCCTACGATATCCATTTCAAAAATATCCGTATGAAATCTCAGTAACCTTAAACTTTTTATGTAAAGTCAACGCTTTCAATGTCCAGCATCCCTTCTGCCTCGATGTCGATTGGATATACCCCCCGTTACATATCAAGCACAAATCTGGAAAAAAAGCAGCTGTTTCCCATTTCCTGGAGATCTGGGCTTTCTTTTCATGTTTTGTACGGATATGCTTATCCATCGATTCATTTTTCTGCATCACTGCCATTAAACAGAACCAAAGATGATGAAAAATCACACAGTATCCTTTTTGGAAATGTTGCACTGGGAAGAATTACAAATAATGTTTCCATTGGGTGCCAAAAATCCTTTTTGAATGGCCAAATGGCGCTCGTGGCCTCTATTAATGTTTGTATCTTGCCATTGGGAACTTATTTCTCCATAGGCAAATCCACACAGGCTCGTCTCTATTAATGGATCTTCAACATTATCCATTAGTGATGCAGTGACCGTAAAAAGTAAAGTCAAGGTGGGAATGGTAGATCCAATTACCCTTTCCCTTTCCACTCGACGAAGGATCTCTGACATCACATCTGCAATAGCAGCACTGCAGTATTCACCACTGCCGTCATCCATGATAATATTTAAGGTTAGAAGTGCCCATTTGTATGTTTTCATATTTTGTTCCCATAAATTTGTCTTATCCGGACTCCATTGCATTTTTATCTGATCGCTAGATGGGCCTGGAGAGAAAGGGCATAAAAATTGTTCTTCCATTCATCCTTTCGCACGAATGTTCTGCGCCATCCCTGAGCTGGTGTTCATTGTATGCCGGCATTTTGACATATCTTTGTGAAAAGTATATTCTCCAACCCTTGATCGAGGCTTCCGAAAGGGAGTAAGCATCATATTTGCAACCTATTCAATATAGAGTTATTGATTCATACACAAAATCCCGAGAAGAAGCGCTAGCATTAAAAAAGCATGAAGCTATAGCTGCCCTTTCCATTCTCAAAGAAAAGGCCAAGGCTAGAGAGACATTAGAACGAGATAAAGACGGTACCAGCTTCAATTGAGGGATTCATTGTCTAGGCTTGATCATCACGTCAGCCACATATGGGTCCGTAGAAGACCACATGAAAATTGACGTACAAATACAACTACAAGCGCTGGTCTCCTCATCACAGTTACATCTGTATTCTGGGTCTAAAGTGCGCTCTTATTCTTACTTACCACTCTTCATAGGCCCTGCTTGTTGGCTTTTACGACCCGTGCATTGGAAGAGCAAAGGTGCTCACCATACAGTACACATTTAAAGGCGTAATGCATCACGTCACCATCAATGACCATGAAGAGCTTATTATTCCAAAACGAGGTAACGACAAATGGGTTAAACTGAAATTTAGATCATGTCGCCGCCAATATTTAATTTCAATAAATTTAATCCAAAATTGTAAATACATTTGATGAAGGAACTGCTTCGTCTCAATGATGCTCCCAAGAGGATCCAGTCAATTCATTTTGGACTTCTCTCTCCACAGGCAATGAGCGAGCTTTCCGAGTTGGAAGTATGCAACCGGGAATTGTATTCCGTTGTGGGCGGTCCTTCCGGCTCGAAGCCCCTCGCACATGGGTCTCTTGATCGTCGGCTTGGTATTTCGGATAAGAACAATTCTTGTGAAACCTGCGGCTTAAAACTGGCAGAGTGCGCCGGACATTTCGGGCATATAAAGCTTGCTCTCCCCGTTTTCCACATCGGATTTTTCAAGGCAACGATTGCGATTCTGCAGGCCATTTGCAAGACCTGCTCGCGCATCCTACTTTCAGACAATGAAAAGCTGACTTGGCTGAAAAAAATAAGAAATCCGCACTTGGATTCTCTGCAGAGGGAGTCTATTTTCAAGACCATCATTTTGGCTTGCAAGAAGGTGTCGCATTGTTCGCAATGCGATACTCTCAATGGGATCGTCAAAAAAGTAGGGGCTCTTAAAATTATACACGAAAAGAACGGAAGAGGAGGGAAAAAGGTAATTACCATAGATTTGGCCACAGCCGCTTTTTCTGCAGCCGTTGAGAGCATGCCCGAGGCAAGGCAGCCAATTTCACGTGTTATTACAACTGGGATCGAAGAACTGTCCCCGCTAAAAGTGCTTGCGCTTTTTGAAAATATGTTGCCTGAAGATTGCGAACTGGTTGGATTGCCTCCATCTTGTAATGGGCGTCCGGATCTGCTTCTATGGCGTGTGCTACTTGTCCCTCCTGCCTGCATTAGGCCCTCCGTGGAGCAGGAAACAGGCTCCAATGAGGATGATTTGACGGTAAAGCTGGGCGAAATCATCTACACAAACCTCATTTTGGAAGATGCCTTGTCTAAAGGCTCGCCAATCTCGATGATCATGGAGGACTGGGAATTTCTACAACTGCAATGTGCGCTTTATATCCATTCAGAGCTTCCAGGAATCCCACCCTCTGCTCAGGTTTCTTCAAAACCGATCAGGGGATTTTGCCAGCGTCTCAAAGGCAAAGCCGGTCGGTTTCGAGGAAATCTTTCCGGAAAGCGAGTCGATTTTTCGGGAAGGACAGTTATTTCTCCAGATCCAACGCTTAAAATCGGGGATGTTGGGGTCCCAATTTTTATTGCAAAACAGCTGACTTATCCTGAACAGGTTGCGTCGTTTTCGATTGAAAGATTGCGAGCACTGGTGAGGGCTGGGCCCGACCACCACCCGGGCGCCAATTTCGTTGTCTCCAATTCGGCTTCTTTATCAAATGACTCGTCTCCTGCTTGCTCTTTTAAGCGATTTCTTCGCTTTGGCGACCGTGAAAAGGTTGCGAGAGAATTAAAGATTGGGGATGTCGTTGAGCGGCATTTATGCGATGGAGATATTGTCCTTTTCAACAGACAACCATCCCTGCACAAGCTTTCCATTATGGCACATCGGGCTAAGGTTCTGCCATGGCGCACGCTTCGGTTTAACGAATGCCAATGCGCGCCTTATAACGCAGACTTTGACGGCGACGAAATGAATCTACATCTTCCGCAAACTGAAGAAGCTAGGGCAGAGGCCATTGAGCTGATGGGAGTGCAATCAAACCTCGTTTCTCCTAGAAACGGGCAGCCTGTGATTGCGGGTACTCAGGATTTTATCACGGCTGCATATTTGCTCTCCCAAAAAAACGTCTTCATGGATCGTGCATTTTTCTGCCAAACCGTGACGTGTATGTTTGATTCTTTGGAAAAAATCGATCTTCCCATGCCGTCCATCCTCAAGGTATTTTTATCTCTTTTTCGACTGGCTTCCATGTCCCTTGAATTTTGATTTCTCACACATTTGTAGCCGAAAATGCTTTGGACTGGCAAGCAGGTTTTTGACATCCTTATGCGTCCCAATGCCGCATCGCCGGTGCTTGTAAATTTAGAGGCCAAATCTAGGACATTTGTACGTGGTAGCGATCCCACACGCCCGCCCGAGTTCTGTCCCGTAGATGGGTAATTCGCGTGCCCTTTTAATGATTTCTTAGATACCTGATTATTCGGAATAGCAAGGTGATCAGCGGGGTCATGGATAAGAGTATCCTCGGCGATGGATCAAAGAGCACATCGATCTTTTATGTGATCCTGCGAGACTATGGGTCGTCTTTTGCTGCAGATGCAATGCTCCGCCTTTCAAAGCTTTCTTCAAGTTGGCTTACAAATCGGGGATTCTCCATCGGGATCAATGATGTGCAACCTTCAGAAAAGCTGCGCCATCATAAAGAGGCCCTTGTCCAAAAAGGCTATGCAGCATGTGATGCGTTCATTGAGGAGTTCAAGTGTGGAAAATTGCAAAATCAACCAGGCTGCACTCCATCTCAATCTTTGGAGGCCGTTATTTCTAGAGTACTTTCGAAAATCCGTGACGATGTGGGCCAAATATGTTTGGAGGAGCTTTCCGTTAACAACGCGCCTTTGATTATGCAATGGTGTGGCTCTAAGGGCTCGAAAATCAACGTTTCTCAAATGGTTGCTTGTGTTGGCCAGCAAATCATCTCTGGCTGTCGTATTCCAGATGGATTTACAGATCGGTCGTTGCCGCATTTTTTGCCAAACGAAAAGAAACCGTCGGCCAAGGGATTTGTGAAAAACTCTTTTTTTTCTGGGTTGACACCGACCGAGTTTTTCTTTCACGCTGTATCTGGAAGAGAAGGATTGGTAGATACTGCCGTCAAAACAGCAGAAACCGGATACATGCAGCGAAGGTTGATGAAGGCGCTGGAGGACCTTTCTATACAATATGATTTATCGGTCAGGTCATCGACCGGCAATGTTGTTCAGTTTTGCTTTGGCGACGACGGTCTTGATCCTGCTTCGATGGAGGGAGACGATTTTCCGGTAAATTTTGCCCGTAATTTGATGCACATCAAGGTATTTGATTGCACGCTTAATCGATTTTTAGGCCATTCTCCCGCTGAAATGGAACGTTGGACTGACTTGTGACCAGGTTTATGGTGAATTTGAACACATGGTTGAAGAGCTAGATTTTCCTGCCAAATGTACAGAGGCTTTTATTTCGTCCTTGCGTTCCTTTGTGGTCAAATATTGCTGCAAGCCTCTGGAAGATGCAAACGCCTTTGCCATGGTACCGGAAAACAAAGCCCAAATTTCGGGCTTGTCTAAGGAGCAGCTTTCATTGTTTCTAAAAACATGCCTATGCAAGTATCGACGCGCACGTATAGAGCCCGGCACTGCGGTTGGAGCTCTTGGTGCCCAATCTATCGGCGAACCTGGAACTCAAATGACTTTGAAGACTTTCCATTTTGCTGGCGTTGCATCCATGAATATTACCCTTGGTGTGCCAAGGATTAAGGAAATCATCAATGCTTCCAAACTGATATCAACGCCAATCATAACAGCAATGCTTGTCTCTGATCGCGATCAAGTGGCCGCGCGTATCATCAAAGGTCGAGTGGAAGTAACTCGGCTCGGGGACCTTTCCGAGCATATTGAGGAGGTATATACACCCTCGGAATCGTATCTTCGCATCAAGCTGAGCCTGGAAACCATTCGAGCCCTACAGCTTGAGATTGATATTTTTCAGATCCAAAAGACGCTTTCTGTTGCTCCCAAGCTCAAGCTTAATGAAAGCCAAATACTGGTCGAGCCACCAGATACGCTTCGCGTATATCTTCCTCCAAAATTGGCTGTCAACGAAAATATGTATTTAAGATTGCAGCGGCTGAAACGAGCACTTCCGACCGTTGTTGTCCTTGGGATTCCCAGTGTACAAAGAGCGGTTATCAATGATAACAATGACGGAAGCTACAACCTTCTCGTTGAAGGGTATGGCCTTCTTGACGTCATGTCTACCGAAGGTGTTGTTTCCTCAAAAACGACCTCCAACCACATCATTGAGATTTCAAAGATCTTGGGCATCGAGGCAGCCCGTACCACCATTGCATCTGAAATCCAATATACCATGAGCAAACACGGCATGACCATTGATGCTAGGCATGTTGCTCTTCTTGCAGACACGATGACTTGTAAAGGCGAAATACTTGGAATCACAAGGTTTGGCATCTCCAAGATGAAGGATTCTGTCCTCATGCTTGCTTCTTTTGAAAAAACCACAGACCATCTTTTTGACGCTGCTGTTCGTGGCAAACAAGACGATATTCTTGGCGTATCTGAATGTATCATTATGGGCACGCCAATGCCTATTGGGACGGGGCTGTTTAAGCTCCTGCAAAAGGTGGTGGTGGGTGTGCCTGAATATGAGGATTTTGAAAGGCCTGGGGAAAGGTCCAGTAACCCCTTGGAGCGGGATGACGAAGTATTTTCCTACATTGACCACGAAAAATGTGCCATGATGGACATTGTCGAGCCGATTGATGACACCAAATCGGCCACGCTTGCCAGGCCGCAACCAAGCCCCGTTTCATCTCTCAAAATATCAAGAAAACCATTATTGTTTGATCAAGAAAAATATCACCCGCCAAGTACAACAGTAGTATAGTAAATTATTAATACACAACGTGGATGCCCTCAAACTTTTACTTGTTTTTAATTTTGCAATGGCGTCGTCCTCCGTGCATTCTGGTGGCGATTCAAGACAGGCGTCGGCAAATACCCATGGGCACTGGCCGTCTTCGCCGTCCTCGCACCCACAAAAGAACCATTCATCGTCGATTTATTCCGGCGTGAAACCTTACTTTAACAGCAGTAAGGTTTTTTCTTCTGTTTTAAAGGAGAGGTTTAACTTTGCAAGTGCTGCATGTGCCGCTCTGGTGATACATTCAAGTTTGGGCATCAAATCTCCAAGCGCAATTTTGAGCCCCAACAAAGACGTCTACATGCTAATTCCATGCACAAATTACAAGTCCTCCTCCACTTTGAAGTGGCTATCTAGCTTTCTCTTTACCTCCACGCAGACACAAATCACCAACTCTGCTTCCATTTCAAACATAATCGTTGAATTGTGCTCCGAGCTACGCATAGATACCATTGTGCTCTCCAACGAGGAATATTTTTCGAGCTCTTTTAAGAAGGTCGGTCTTTTTGGCTCTGCAAGATATGGGGCCGAATCTCCAGACTGGAAGTTGATTGCAAACTTGGAGGCTTCGCCTACACGAGGACCGCAGGTGTTCAATTTAGAAGGCTCGTCTTCTTTCGTCCGATACTTGAGGTTTGAGTTTGAATCCTTTTATGGGCACGAGTTTTATTGCCCCGTCACATTTCTGGCCGTATATGGAACCACCATGATTGATGACTTGAGGCAAGAAATAGCAAAAAACCCGATGCCTCACTCGAACACCTCTTTCCAAGAAAATTTCAGAATCACAAAAAAGGCAGATCCTGGCAAGGAAACGCCCGACATCAACGAACATCGAAGGTCCTGCCCAAGCAACAACAATACCAGCAAAAATAATCAGCACCGTGCCCATGCGCACCACCGAAATATTAACAGCAATCTCTCCCTTCTTTTTCAAATGCTGGACTCCAACAAGCACTTTCGAACGCTATTTAAAGCCCATTCGTCTGATGGGTCCCCGTTGTTTTTTGAAAAGAACGAAAGCGAATCTTCCGACGTAATATCTGGAAATAACATTTTCAAGCTTATTATTGACCGTGTGGGGCTCCTTGAAAGCCAAACGGATTCGCTTGCCTCTCAGCTTTTGGAAACCTCGTCCGAGCTAAATGCTCTGCGCCACTCAATGGCCAAGGTGCAAACATGGGATGTAAATTTTTCTTTCTGCTCTTTCGAGAGCCGCCTTCCGGAATCTGTTACAGAGCCAGGCATTGCTCGGAGTGGGTATATTAACAATTTGTATGATGTGTTGAAAATAGAGCGATTTGTATATTTTTGGAACAAGGATTCCGAATTAAACGGGGTGTTTCTTCTTCTTTTGATCGTTGTATTTTCGATTTTCATAAATTGGTGGATTTTTTGGCGATTTTCAAAAAGAAAAAGGGCCCCTTCGTCATCATCATCATCTTCTTCTTCTTCTGTGAAAGGAGCACTTTCTTCAGCATCTTCGCCCATTATTATGCACTCTAATTTTGATGAAATCTCTGCTTTAATTTTAAATACCCCCACACAACCATCCATCAATCCGATAATGCTCGACCCCGAGGTTATGCTATTTCCGACCGTAGATCCATCATTAACAAAATCGTCTCTATTGAAAAACAACGACCACTTATTAAGCACTCCAACTGGCAATGGATGTCTTTTTGCACCATCTTCTCCGAAAAGCCCTCTGCTGGAACGGGGAGCACTTGGCCGAACCTCCTCGTCCTTCACAAGAGAAAGATGCAAATTTCGCTCAAAATCAATGCCACGCATGAACGTGTAAATATTAATAATAAATGCCAGACTTTTTAAGCGTGACACCTTGCATTGGACCAAATTTTAAGATTACACCCGTTTGAGATGTCCATTTCAATGCACATGCATGTGCATTGAAATGGCTTGATTCGACATTGAGGTCTGCCATTTTCGTCCCTTCTCAATGTCAAATCAAAATCACATGCTGCATTGTGGTTGGGTGCACCAAAAATGCTTGCCACATGCAACGCAAGTGTTGTAAAGGCAACTGATTTATCGGCACCATGCACATTGGCCAAATAAAGTAAAATCTTGGCCCAATTTTAGGGTTATGTCTTCATTCTCTTTGCTTATCATCAACAAGGCCGGGGGCCTCATATTTTCGTTCGACTTTCCCACGGAAAGTGGGTCGCTGGCTTCCAGTAACCACCTAATGGTTTTGGCCTCTACTTTTCAATCCATACATGCCATCTCCTGTCTTTTGGTTCCCGATTCAAAGTGCACGCCGGTTTCGCTGGGTCCGTTTGTCGGGTTTGGCATCACCACGATCAATGGGAGGGAATTCAATCTTCATTGCAGACAGACCGTAACTGGACTGAAGTTTCTTTTGATTTCACACTCGGAAGAGCCGATCGACGATTTACGGCTAGAACTGTTCTTCAACAGGCTATATTCGTCATACGCCAATTGCATCTTGAAGAACCCATTTTACACGCTAGACATGCCGATAAAGTGTCAAGCGTTCAACAGCTCCATCCTCAAAATAGCTTCTGAAAGCCTTAGTGAGAGAAAGCCTACGTCCTTGTAATAAATTTATTGATCTACATGAGGCTACTTGACGTTGATGGTGACTGGGATTCCGCGTTTTCCCTCGGACTTTGGCGCGATGATGGATAAAAGTCCATTCTCAAAAGTGACGTCAATCTTGGAACAGTCGATTTCCTCAGGAAGAGTGAATGATCTGAAGAATTTTCCTTCGGCCCTTTCAGCTTGGAGAACATTATGCGGCTGTTCCTTTGCAACATCTGTTGAAGACGAGCGCTTTTCTACGGACATGCTTTCAGAAGTGTCCTCTTCGGGCTTACCACTCAGCTCGTTAGAGGACGGTGCAGAGTATTTTCGAGAGTAGAAGCCATCAAGTGAAATGGTGCGACCTTCAAAGCATTGGACACGTATGTCTTCCTTGCGGACCCCAGGTAGCTCTGCCTCAATGATATATTGCGAATCGGTTTCTCTGACATCCACAGATGGTGAGGATCTTCCGAGATCCCTGGTCATGGGAAATCTGAACAAGGCTGGCATATCGAACATCCTTTCGAACATGGCATCAATGTCCCTCAAAGATCGTCTGAAAAATCTGTCTGCGTACATTGTGGGGACGGCGGCCCAAACTGTGGCTATTTATGGCCCACGCTACCAAACCTTCGAGAAAGTTAAGTTTGCAAATAGAATTTTCCAAAACATTTCCTTGAATGTTAATTAATTTCCAATCAATTCAAACTTTGGTCACTCGTTAAAATTAAGTGATGCTGGACTTTCAACATGTCAAGAATGTCACTTGCAGGAGCATCGTAGACTCCCCCCATGCTACTAAGGCGGTTGTGTGTATTTCGGCCGACTCGAACACCATAGCTGCATACAAGGCACACACTCGTTGCCATTAATGTTTAGACCCTATCAGACCATCATATATCATCTGCGCCCGTGGTTGATCCAGATACGGGCGTTATATGTGGGATGCTGGACTATGTCGATCTTGCCGATTTTTTGCTTCACAAAGGCGTGGACGGCCTCCAACTCGAAGCCACGGCCCGTACGCTTGTCGATCGATCAATGAAAGATCCCTTCTATTCGACCGGCATTGATTCGCCCATTCTAAATGCCATTGAGGTGTTGGGGATGGGAATCCATCGCATTGTGCTTATGAATGACGCTATTTCCAAAACGGACATTCCAAAGCCTTCCGAAAGGATTTGCGGCGTTTTGTCGCAATCGGATCTTCTTCGTTGGATCCTCAAAGAGCAGCAGGGAAAGCGGGACAACGACTTTCTATTGCCCCTTTCCCATTTAATCAAAATTACATACCCCGCTGTTAGCGTTAACCCCAGCGAACTATTAATTGAGGCAATTAGGAAAATGAGGGTCAACTCTGTCTCCTCCGTTGCCGTGGTCGAGAAAAACAATCTGATCGTCGGGCATCTCTCGGCATCGGACTTGCAATACTTGATCTTCAAAAAGGATCCGAAAAGCTTCTTATTTCAGCCGGTGCTACCTTTTATTTCAATGGTACTATCTGAAATCGGCATATCCAGAGGAGGGGACAGGTAAGCATACAAGTATTGACACTAGGTATCCGTATTACGATGTTTACGAAGACACGCCGCTAATAAATGTGATTGAGAAGCTTTTGGCCACCAGTACTCATCGCGTGTGGGTGGTGGAAAATCCCGCAACTTCTCCAAACAGGGCTGGTTCTGCACATCCAAAGCTTTTGGGTGTCGTTTCGATGACCGATATTATTGATGGGGTTTTCAAGCCCAAGTCCGGTCACGAATATTAGCCAAATAAACCAAGCTTTACCACGCTCCCTCGTGGGGTTTGAATTCGCTGCGTGCGAACAGAGTTCGCCTTGATTTTAGGCCGATTTCCGCGCCGTTTGCAATACAAATTGCACAAATAAAATTAGATTTACTTTGATGCGACCATAGGCTTCTTTCCGCACTTGCTATAAATGGGGCGCTAAATGTGCGGCGAGCTCAGATGAATTCGTTTCCCGCAAAGATGTCGCTTGCGCTGTTGAAAATTTTCCTAATTTTGGCACTGATTGCCGGGGTGTGGAATGATTATCCCGCATTTAAAAATATCCCGGATTTGCAAACAGATGGGCCAAAGAAAATTCAAAGCCAAATTGAGAAGCAAACCCCACATTCGGTAAAATCGAAACTCGAGAATATCAAAGAAGGCATGATGGAGAGACTCCAGAAATGCAAAGATGAGACTGCTCATTTGATGGATAAAGACGATCTTTTGGGAAACTTGGGCCAGTGGAAAGATAGACTGGTTCAAGATGTTGAAACGCTGTGGTCACAAGTCTCTGAACAGCTTAAAGAGTCCAAGAACAAGGTAATGGCAGAAGAGGAAGATCCTCATTCCGATATCTCGGCAAAGCTTCATAAATTGTTCGGGAAACTGATGCCCGATGCGCTTTTCACCAAGGAAAGCGAGGAACGCATTAACAACCTTGAAGAGGGTGAGAAAATGATGGTTGTGGACGTCTCTGGTTGTTCCGCAAATGATCTTAAAGTGACCATCTCTGGGGACAAGAGAATGATATCGATTCGTGGAACTTGTGCCATTTCTGAATCAAATAGAGGACCTTTGATTCAAAAAGAAATCGACGAAAAACTAAGAGTGCCATCTCAAACTAACGTTGAAAACATTACGGTTGGGCTCAAAAATGGACTGCTGTGTATCATCTTTCCTCCCCTCGACCTGGATGCATCTGAGGAGCAAATCTTGTTGGCCATTTCTGAATGGTGAGGTTTGTGGATTAATGTGAAATTAATTTGGAATTAAAGGGTTTTTTCAAAAATATGTTTCACCTTCAAAGTTAGGAGATTTAAACTGATTGGACCAATCGGGGTCGCTTTTTGCACAAAACTCAAAAGCAACATTCATGCATAATTTTTTGTTGTTGCTTGCTCTGTGGAGAGGAGGTCAGCCGTTTGTCAAAAGAGGTAGATCATCAACAACCATTGTACTTTACTCAATAAATACGTATGATCATCCAATCTTACTCTTTAGGAGAGAAGACGATCAATAACCACAAAACATGTTAGCATCATCACCACCACTACCGCCAGCCCCTCCATCTCTGGCATCATCAGCCGTGCATATGAGAAAATTTTCTCAAGATTTGACAATTAAATTTAGTTGTTCAGAATGCAGAAGCGCCAATCCTAATCTTATCGAAGATTATGCATCTGGGGATGTTGTATGTCGGGATTGTGGGGTCGTTGTTCACGATCGAATAATAGATACTAGGAGCGAATGGCGATCATTTGCCAATGATGGAACATCTGGAAATGATGACCCATCTCGTGTCGGAGGGCCTCAAGACCCGCTGATGTATGGGGAGGGGGATGACGAGACGTTGACCATTGAATCAACGCTCATTTCCTCCCTCCCTAAGGGAAAAGATGGATCTTCGTTTTCTTCATCCGGATCGTCATCTGGCTCTTCATTTGATCTTGCAAAAATACAGAACAAGACAAGTATGAAAGCCTCGGATCGAAATATTATCCACGCCTTTAAAAATATTTCTATCATTTCAGAACGAATTGGACTTCCAAAAAGGATTGCAGATTGTGCTAAGCATCTGTTTAAAAAGGTTGAGGATGGGAAGTTGTTAAAGGGAAAGCCAATGGATGGGATCATCGCTGCATGCGTCTACATCGCTTGTCGAATGGAGCGCGTTACACGGACATTTAAAGAGATATCGCTTCTGACGATGATTCCAAAGAAGGACATTGGTCGGTGTTATAAGGCGCTTTTTCCATATCTATATCCGCAGGGTGAAATACATACAAATGGTGCCATTACGCCAAAAATGACGTCAGCTTTGATGCAGCCAAATTTGTCAGCCTCGAAGGCCGTTGCTGGGGGTTCTGGTGGAGGATCCCCCACAGAGGCCCAACTCTCCACCTCGTCTTCGGCCTCCGTTCCTGCTGTTGCGGCATTGAAAGCAGAATCTCCTGTGGAGAGTCCATCTCTTTCGCCTTTGATTGCCCTCAATGGCGAAGAACAACGCCCAATGGGATCCATTATTTATATACAGGATTTTATGGCACGATTTTGCTCAAACCTTTCCCTTCCAATGGAGGTGCAAAAAAGCGCATTGCAGCTGTGTCAAAAGGTGCAATTCTTGGACTGTCTCTCTGGAAAGAGCCCAGTATCTATTGCAGCAACAATCATATACATGGTGACCTTGCTTCATCCCCAGTACAGACGGCCAGCTAGAGATATTTCAATGGTGACTGGAATATCCGAGCTGACCATTAAGAATACGTATAAAGAGCTCTACCCACATCGACACATTATAATCTCCCCCGACGTTGCATCAAAACATAGCATTGAGAACATGCATCCGTCTTAGTTCCATTTGGTAAATAAAATTTCGAACCATTATGATGAAAATTAAAGTTTTAAAATTTAGTAGTTTTATTCGCCATTATGCCGGTAAGTCTTTGTTCTTGTCTGCATTTCATCCATTGTGCCCCTTTCCGTTGGTCTTTGCTAATTGTGGTAGCTCGTAACCGATCTTCTCAATCCATCTCTTCAGACCCAAAAGCGCACACACAAGCTTAAGCGGCTTGTGCAGAGCCCAAACTCGTTCTTCATGGATGTTAAATGCAGCAGTATGATATGTGTCTCCCATCTTTTGTAGAATGCCATACCATTGTCAGCGCATTCAGCCATGCAAAGACGGTCATTTCTTGCCCAAAATGCCAGTTGATCCTCTGCCAACCAACCGGTGGTCGCTGCCGCATCTCTGAGGGTATTGCTTATTTTCTTAACTTTGTACTAGGTGTATCCATTCGCCGCAAGCAAAACTAAGCAATAAACTTAACTAAATGGAAGTAATCGCTATCCGTAGCTTTGTTGCCAACATGATGTGGGTTTGAAGACCAACGTGTGGGAAAAAGTTGGCCGTGTCATATGCTATTTTTAAGTCTCAACTTTGATTTACAAGTGTGGCACACATGTGGGCCAAACGCTTGCATCTAACAGAACAAATTTATTTAGCAGATGGGTGCATATCGATTTTAATAAGTTACTTTGTGAGCTTGCTGGCATTGATATTCCGACGCCCATAGCCAATGACGGGCTGTTGGCATTCTCCCGCCCGTATACAGCCAGAAAAAAAGGACGAAGAAAAGGCGGAATCCTCCCGCTGGCTTCGTGAAAGCGAGCGCTGGTATACTTTGATGGATCGTTGATACTCCTTTTGATCTTCTCTCAAGTTTAGTTTTTCCTTTTTGGGAATCGGATAAATTGTACCTCGGTTGTTGAATTGAAAGTTTTTCTTCAAGTAGAGCACCATTTCTCCGGTCTCTGCAGAAACACCAACAGATGTCCGCAAAAGAGTGGCATTCCCGCATTTGTCGCAAAACCTGCGTGTGGAATCGCGCTCGATGGCGTAACATGCATGACAGCGAAGGACCCAATGGCGAAGGGACTTTATGTGTGCTCCAGACTGGCTCGAGCGGGCACAAAGGCCAATTTGAATAAGAACATTCTGCATTGCAAAGTCAGAAGAAAGGCAAGCAACTTCCCGTGGCATTGAGGCAGAAGACTCAGTACTGCCGTGCGAATCGGTGCCATCACTACCGGACGAACTGGATGTGATCCAAGTGTCCATGGGCGATCCACCTTGCAAATTGTTCTGCTGTCCTTTGGAAAGACACAGGGGCAAAGGGGTGCTACGTAAATGGGAAATATCTCCTCGGCAAACGGATTTTTCCAGGTCCAGAGTGAGAGCTATAAGATGGGTATCAACTATCGACAATGACGCCAGGTCTCCCGTCTTTTTTGCAAATTCGGTCACAAATCTGATCGAGTCTGCGGATGGGACTTGGATATGAAGCCTTGGCTCGAGTATGCAAAGGGACCGCTTTGCAGCCTCATCTTTGATTTCATTTTTGATCACTTGTGGAATTGTGTATATTTCATCGCTAGGATAAATGTTGACGGCCTCATTGAAGATGAATGCATTGGTGTCGAGGACAAGATGCATAAAATAATGGCACATTAAAATTTATTCAACTGCTGCAAATATTACTTTTTAATTTAATGGCAAAAAGGAAACGAAATAACAGTGTCCTGCCTTCTTCGCCCATTGAAGGATCATATTTGACCAAGGACGAGGAGAACCCCACAGTACCTTTGCAGAATCATTTTGGTTCCGACAAAAAGACACTGGTGAGCACGCTTTCTCAAGCGGTCCATTTGAATGACACTTCTATGTTGGAGATGGCATTTTCTGAAGGGCTCAAAGATCCTTCGCTCATCGAGATAACTGTAAGGCGACTACCGCAAGCACTTGCAATTCCATTTTTCAAAAAACTGGGGCTTTGCATCGTGGAGTCACCAAACCGTCTGATGGTGTATTTGCCTTGGGTTTCTGCGCTAATCAGTGCACATTGCTCAATTATCCTATCAACGCCATTGCTGCATGAGCAGTTGAGGAGTCTGTTGGAGACGCTTGAATCCAGATTATCTTCGCGATCAGAGCTCGAGAGGTTATCGGGAAAACTAAATTTTCTCGTGGATCGGATTGGGATGCGACTGGAGGGCGGCCTTACTCCGCAAGAGAAGGAGTTTGTCCCTGCCCAGGTCTTTTCTGAGAGAATAGAAGATGAAGCTACTGAGCAGGCGGATCTAGACACGGAAGATACTGAAGATGCAGATAGCGTAGATGGTTCTGATCGAGACGCTTCAGATGGCCACTCTGATGAGGGCGAATCTGCAACTACCATTGAGGAAGATTCGGACCAAGAATCAGAGGAAGAGCAAAGTGATGCCTCCATTGGCGAAGACTGTAGTGACAATGCATCCAGTGCCGACGATTAATAAATTATTTTATTTATTAGCCCATCGAGCCATACAGTCGATTCCACTCTTCGTACATCCCGAGATCTTTATCTGAGACAGATGCCCGCACCTGGGTAAGCGCATGTTGAAAGTCATGGAGACCAATTGGGGGAACCTATTTGTTATTGAGGCATGCTACTTGGTCGGCCTGTATTGATGTGATATCGGGTATTGACCGAATGGGGCCAAGGGAAGCCTCTCGGCAGAGACTGTGCATATCAGAGCCCGAATATCCTACAAAACTATTGGGAAAAATTTGTGTACCTGCTGTCCACTCGCCAACGGTAACATAGTCGTCCGAAACGAGCGAGGCCATTTTATTTGATGCACAAAGCCTTCTTACAATATCTGCTCTCGCTGCAGCGTCCGGTAGCGGGATGTAGAGCCGTTTGACAAGGCGGCGCCGTGCCGCCTCATCAAGCTCCTGGGGTCTGTTTGTGGCACCTAAAGCATGAGAAAAGAACTGGGCGGGGATGTAAAAGGTAAAAAGATGCCGGATTGAAGAAAAAAGGCAATAAAGTAGCAGTGGACGCTCAATTGTGAAAATAGCAAGCACAAACGGCAGATCACGCACGCACCGATAAGCAGCAGACGAGCATCGTCTGTTCCGGCTCCATCAAGTTGAATTAGGAACTCTGTTTTCAAACGTCTAGTGGCTTCCATTTCGCCTTCTGTGCGAGCTGTAAGCAGGGAGTCTATCTCATCTACAAATATTACAGAGGGAGAGCGGCAGCGTGCAACAGCAAAAAGAGCACGCACCATTTTTTCGCCCTCGCCAATCCACTTTGAAGTGAGTGAAGAGGCACTGATGTTGAAAAACGTCGCTCCCGATTGCGAGGCAATGCACTTTCCAATAAGTGTTTTCCCGGTGCCCGGCGGTCCAAACAGAAGGATGCCTTTTGGAGGGCCCCGTAGCCCTGTAAATATGTCTCTACTGGTGATATGTAAACAGGTACGGTCTCAACATAGGCCACACCACAATTTCCTTGATGGTTTTCTTAGCATGCTCCAAGCCGGCAATATCGTCCCATGTCACCGGCTTTCCAATATCCATGATCTAATAAAAAAGGTCGATCAATGTACCTCATTCATGATAAACTGCACCATTTTAGGCTCGATGTTTTTCAGGCGATCATCAGATAAAGCGGCCACGTCCTGATTGTTTACAGTATTTTGCTTCGAGTTGGGGCCCAATGGGTTATGGTTCAGTTGATAAAGCGACAAGTTGGCGGAATATGACTCGTCCTCTAAATTAGAAGATGTACCGGACGCGGACGAAGAGGTGTATGGCGCACAAGATGAGGATGAAGACGAAGATGCAGAGGAAATCGAACGATTGATGCCCAATCGGTGACCTGGATTCCTTTTCGGCAGCGAGGAAGCATGTGCTCCCTCTGGCGGCTTTTTGAGCGAATTCGATATCTAGATGAAAAGAAATACCCTACAAGCTGCTGTTTTGCTGTTACAAACGAATTTTGCGTAGCCGTAGCAAGCGGCTGTAAATTGTCCCGGGATGCATGTGGAACATGTCCACTGCCACCATTGTAAACATGGGCTGGTATTTTTGCAAGCGAGCCTCCTTGGTTTGTCCTATAATCGTCGACGCCCTGTCTTCCGGTAAAGCGATTTTGCGGCATACAGCCATGTACAGGCGCAGAGCGGAAATCGGGTTGTGATTTTTTGCCACACATATTGGCGTCAAACTGTTCGAACGTGCAATTCCACGCTTTCAGTATTTTTTCATGCTCATTCTATAGTTACAAGCGAAATTTGAACCTTATATTGATTTGAAATTGTCTCGATGGCCACCTTGAGTGCGGACGAGTTGTAAGGCTGCGCCTTGTATTCGGTGGCCGGAGACAAACAAAACTTTTTTTCGAGGGCCTTTCTAATATTCAGCTGCTCGACAAGTGAAATTTTTGCAATCAACTCCCTGGCCTCGTCGTTGGGAGATTGATTGTATTTTTTGACAAGGAAAGAGATCCTTTCCATTGAAGCAAAAAAAATGTTATCAATTTCTGAAGGAGATTTCTTGCTCCCATTGCATGATTCCGATAGCTTTTCCAGTCCAATTGACGCTTTAATGTGACGATGCACTTCGTCTTTGTGTGCTCCTTCCGGCTCCCCAAACATTGGGAATATTAAATTTTAATTTTTTATGGAAAACTCGACAAAAGAGGGCGAATTCGTTCTTTTTCAGCTGCCCTCGGAAGATACAAAATTATTTCAATTAATGCAAGGATGGTGATGTTGCGTTATTTGATTTTTAGTTCCTTAAAGTTGAAAAAGATTGGAAATATTCCGGCAAAGAATTTGATTGGATTGAATTTTAATCAACCGTATGTGATTAACGCAGATCTTTCTACCAGCCCTCAAGACCTTGGAGACGATGGCATGGTCGCATCTATGGAAGGTATTTTGGGGTTCATTCTGATTCTCATCTAGTGACAAGAAACAACCAATTTTTGTCGCCCGATAGCGCCTCGCAGCGGCTCACTGACGCAGACATCGACAAACTTAAGGATCATATAAAGAGCGGAGAGGCCCAGGCTGGAGATCTCATTAACGAGATAATTGCAAACAGCACCACTTTTAGCGAGAAAAATGAATTTTCCCAGGCCAAATATGTAAAAAAGAAGCAACAAAAGTAGCTGGCTTCTACTTTATGCATCTAGATTTCTAAGGACCATTACACCGATTCAAGTGTGTTCGTTTTCTCTTTGTGACTATTACTTTACTCGTGTGCCCAAGAAAATGATGTAAATTTGTGCTATATTTACGCTAAGGTCATTAAGAGTGGACACATTGTCTCAGTTGATATCACTGGCCAACATTAGAAGCAATGGGCGGGTTTTAGTTTACGAGGATCTTGGTGGATTGCTTCTTGGCGCACTTGCTGAAAGACAGGCTCTCCCTGTCAGCATTCATAGGAGAACGGGTATTGCGCACCAGATTGCGTATAAATTCAACCTTCCACAGGATACCATTGTTTCCGTTTCATTCTGTGATCTTGATTATGCTGGCTTTTTGCCAGATCCTCTTAAACCATATATTTTGGGATCAAACATTGCAGATGGCAGCAAAAAACCGGTTCCAGATCCCTCTGAACCTAAAGAAAGTAATAGCGAGCATGTTGATGGAAATGTTGATGGAAATGTCGATGGAAATGTCGATGGAAATGTCGATGATCAGTGTTATCCACTCATCAAGACAGCCTCCCAATCTGATGGGCCCCTTACTGTGCTCGATGCTTCTTCTTTTGATCACGAAGAGGCGTTTGATGGCGCAAAATGTAAGCGAATCCGAATTTCAAATGTCAAACGTCAAGATAAACGGCATTTGAAAAATCTAAAAATTCAAGAGCTATTCAATAAAAGTAATGATGTAAGGCCATTTGATTCTCTTATTTTGGCCATATCTCCCAGCGATTTTCAGCATCACAGCATTTCTGAGTTCATAAAGCTGACCATTAACTGTTTTTCTGAAATTGTGGAACCCTCTGGCTCGATCGTTATTTATTCACAATTCAAAGAGGTGCTTTGGTGTGTGCATATCATTTTTAGATTTTGCTTCCCATATTTGATTGGGCTCTCTCCCATGAAAATTTTGTAAACGTTTCCCTGACGGAAAGTTGGATGAGGTTCCATCAGGTTTTGCATCTGTTGCTTTACTTTAGGTTCTTCCCGGAAGGTTTCACCCCAAGATGAAAATGAGCGGATCAGGAGGGTATATCCTCTCAATGATTTTGGTGCTCTCCTAATTTTCAATTAAAATTTTAATTATCTAAAGGACATCCAAGGTAGCGATTGTGGAAGAACTTCCACGGTCACCGGCAGCTCTCCGACAACCTCGCCGTCGCATTCGATTGCAATGTCCACCGCATTTGATGAAAGGAAAATTTTATCCGAGTATTTGTACTCATAAGACAGGAAATGTAACGGAACATGACATTTCAAAAGCCTTAGCATCATACAAAAAGGAAAGGTCAACATAAGCAACGGCAATAGTAAAAAATTCAGCCAACGGAACTTTTTTACCACTTGCAAGTACGATGCATTCGGGTTTGACGGGTCTGATGAGGGCGACACAGAAATTCCACCTCCAAAGCAGGATCCAATTGAAATACAGGCAAAAATAGAGCTTTCCTTAAAGTTACTGGAAGAACATTGCAACTCAATTTCCTTCCATCGGACAGAAAATATCAACAGAAATATTGTCCACACAAAATACGAAACCGATCTAAGAGGGGAGGCCTTGATCGCGCTGGAGAGCCGTCGATATTTAGACATTGATTGCAAAACAAGCGATGAAATCCCCACCGAAGCGATATTACAGAAATATCTTTTCGCGCCACACTTGAAGGTGATTAGCCCGCAGTTGAGATCTGAATAGAGAATCCGCCTATGCTTTGAAGACATCAGTGAAAGGAGAAACCGATTAACCGACGTCCTTTCAATACCCGGAATACTTTCTAGAAAGTCACAGGCCGTTCCTTTGTCATAAGATAAAGAGTGGGATACTCACCTAGGGCGATTTGAGATAGATAAATACTTCCTTTTCTATTTGTCTCCATAGCCCTCATATATCCATTTATCACCTGGTTTAGGGTTCCATCACCACCAACCGCAACAATTACCAACGTTTGGATGCTATTTTGCTTTGCTATGCACGCTTCTCGGACCGTGTCTATAATATCTCCATTATGCTTGGAGATGAATACGGAAATCGAAAAATCCTTGCCATTATTTATTTGGTTTGAAGAAATAGAAGAAAATTCTGTCGAAGAATACCCCGAGGCTGTTGGATTTATGCACAAGAGTAAAGAGATCATTTAAAAAATAAAGCAAAACAAACAATCTTAAGCATCAATAAAAGCCCTACACTTGATGCCTTGGTATGAGGTGAGGAAATAAAGCGCACATTTAAGGTTGCTCGCTTTGGATTGGGGCACAATGGAGATGGCTGCCTTCTGGTTTCCCTCGTCAAACGACAAAATCGTAATTATGGCTGCTCCGCAAAGAATGCCATCATACGAAGTCAATGTACGCTCCAGCAAATGCTCGAAAAATTTGATACCTAAAATGTGGCTTGGGTCTTCCCACTTTACGCGCACGCTCATCAAAGCGGCATTCTCCAAATCAGCATCCGCGGTCAGATCCGAACACATGGATGGAAATTTAAAGTTTATTTTTACAAGATGACCAATCAGGAGAATACAAAAAATAAACTTTATTTTCGAAATTTTTGGATTTATTTTTGTTAAATGGTCCGTACCAAGCAAACAGCGCGCAAATCCACCGGAGGAAAGCTCCCTCGCAAGCAGCTCACCACGAAAGCGGCTCGAAAAGCCACATCCCAAACTCCGATGTCCGGCGGTATCAAGAAACCCCATCGATATCGCCCTGGAACCGTCGCTCTCCGTGAGATCCGCAAATATCAAAAAAGCACTGAGCTGCTGATCAGAAAGCTCCCATTTCAGCGCCTTGTTAGAGAAATAGCGCAATCCTTCAAGTCAGACCTTAGGTTTCAATCCTCCGCAATTGGCGCCCTGCAAGAGGCTGCTGAGGCCTTTCTCGTCGGCTTATTTGAGGTATTATCGACTTTCTTATCATAGGATACAAACTTGTGTGCCATTCATGCCAAGCGTGTTACCATCATGCCGAAGGACATTGCACTCGCTAGACGCATCAGAGGTGAACGTATCCAACCCTAAATGGAATTTGTGATTAAAATTTGAATTGCCAAATTAAAATTTAAAAATTTACTGAATCAAATTCGCTATCGGAAAGATTGTCGTCTTGAAATTCAAAAGTCTTTTCCACTTGATGAGCTTTGTTGGATGAAGAAGCATCCTCCAAAATGGATCTAATTGTCTTTTCCCGCTCTTCTAGCCATTCAGGAATTGCAATTGGAATGGTATTATCGTTATTTGCATTGAAGTTATCCGTAATATTGTCTTGATCAAATGTAAGATTGAACTCTTCTGGTTCCACTTGAGATCTTTCGATATTGTTTTCTTTTTCTTCATTCAATATTACAGAAAGTGGAACGGGCTTTCCCTCGGCCGTTAATTTTGCTGATTTCCAGGTCGCATACCACCTGTTTATCAAATGCTAAAAATAAATCTTAAAAGCAGCTAGTACGCTAAAGAGTTTGGAGTGGCATTTCTGTTCGACGGTCCTCAGAACATCTTTTGATTTAAATCGAGGAAATAGCACGTGCGCCCATTCCTTGTATAGTTCCAATACGATGGAGAGTCCTGCTTTCTAAAATCAAAAATAGAAACATACGCAGTCTTTTGGATTTCGTATAAAGGGCCTGGCGCCATTTGCAGTATGTGAATCTATTAGCTTAACGAGGGCCGGGAATCCAACAGGACCAAGCAATCTACAATTAGATTACGCAAATGGAAACCTTTCTTCATTTAACTTTGCACGAGTGGCGGGTACGGTGGTTTGTTTCCTTTTTTTTTTCACGGCACCAAGGTCCGTATTGGTTTCTTCATTGTCTGTGGTACTGTTCGGTAGAATGCCAAATAGCAGCTCGTTTTCTTCATTTTCTATTTGCGAAGAGCCCTGTCCTAATTGGCGAGCGGACTTCATTATTAAATTTTGAAAATATACCATTTGCCATAACTAGGCTCCAAAAACACGATAAACTTTACATTTCCAATATTTGTCCCGTGTAATTTCCTATTTCCAATATTTGTTCATTTTAATTCTCATTGCTAATGTTTGTTCATTTTAATTCTCATGAAAAGTATGAACTTTATTTAAACGGAAGTTTCATCACATCGAGGGTGAGGGGGAAGAGGGGGGATATACACAACATGGAACTCCAATTAGTTTACAAAAATTTAATGTCTGCGGATTGGGATAAAATCTCTCTACACGTAAATAAGCCAAAATACCTTTAGAAAAGTTGCCCGTTCCCTGGGATTCCTCTTGAAAAGATGGGGCAATCCGTTCAAAGGATTCAGGTATCAGGAAGGTACTAATATCACCAGCGTTGTCTTCTACGTGTTCTTCACAACTATGTGGTTCAGACCAGGGCATAAGGCCCTCCAGTCTGTTGTTGGTCTTCCTTAGTATTGAAATCCACTCGGGGTCATAAGAAAACACAGGGGGCCTCTCTGCCACTTGTTCCGGAATATAGAGGATCTATCACATACATTCGCAATGTAAAAATACCTGCAAAAATTGTCTCCTCGGCAGCGACTTATCAAGTGCTAAAAACCGGGTGCAATATGGGCCTTCTTGTTCTGGTATTTGAAAAACATGGGAGGAGGCCTTAAATAAACGAGTGTTTTCCGCCTGTAGGGATCTAGGCGTTGTACCTTGATGAGAGTAGATCGCTGGGTATTTGACATGCAAATGGCCGGAAAACCAAAAGCGAGGTTTCAGCTTTTTCAAAAGATCCATCAGGGGAGGAGATCCCAGACCTTCATCAGTTTTTATATCTCCTTGGAAATGTGGCTTTCTCCTTATAAGATCAGGAACAGATCCATAAGAGAAAATTCGATTGGGCCAATCATGTGAGATCATCACATCTACCAATGTATCGATCATCGAGAGCTTTTCAATCTCCAACTGCCGATAGTGATAGGGCGATCGAGGAGGAGGGCCATGATTATTAAAAGAAGGAGGATTTTCATTGGCCGAAAAAGACCTCAGGTAATCATGAGACTTGTAAATCCCTGAAATGCCGGCAATGCGAAGCCCACCGAACCAAATGACCCCCGAGGAGCCCATATAGTAAATGGAAGGGGCAACCCAGCCGCCATGCCATAGCTCCCACAAGTAGTTTGGAGCCTCATGGTTGCCTCCTATAAACAGGGTTGGGATTGGCGCTTTCAGTGCTCCCGAATAGTAAAGATGGAAATCCTCCATCTTCTTATATTTGTCAGGAGCAGCCATGCGTGAAAGGTCGTACTTGTTCCGGACAGCCTAGAAATATGGAACAAAGGTTACCTGGAAATCGCCACAGATGATCAAAAGTTCTACTTTGACACTTGGAGCCTGACCTTCAGCTTTGGCAATCTCTTCGTAGATTGCAGTAAGCTTTCCATGACCACATCCAACTATGGCCACATGCATTAATTACAGCTCCAAGTTTAAATTTATTTTATTTTATTTTATTTACATGTTTAACGCCCCGCGAAGGATGCTTTGCGAAGCATTGTAAATGGCATCGTCATATGCGATTGGATTGTGCTGTGCAATCATATATGGCTGTATGAAAAATTGTCCAAAAAGCAAGGTATCGCACTCCACGACAGCAGTAAACTTATCAAATTTGCTTGGATCGTCGGCGTTTCTTGTTACCGGCGTGGAAGTGGGAGATTTGGGCGTCTCCACGGGAAGTCCGTCCTCCACGTCGTAAATATAAAGCAATCGCCCCGGAACATACATCTATTGCTAGTTTAGCAAAAACCTACCTTTGGGTATGGCGATGCTATCAAACTCTGCTGCTCAGTAGCAAGTAAAACTCTAAACATCAACGAGGAAGAGGAAGAGTCCTCATCACTTGAGCGGATGGTTGAACCAATGATCTAAAATAAGGCATTAAGGATACCGGATTCAAAATGTTCTTCAACGACACATGGGATGTAGCCTGGACAATCAGGGCCCTGTAGTCCATCAGTGAGCCATATGAGATTCTTGGCACTACATCGCCTCCGAAGATATAAGATGTAGCCGAAAGACCTTGAAATAGCGGGAGAAGCTCTATGGAGACAATTGGCGGCGCACCAAAAGAACATGCCTGCAACAAAATACCGTTATCTTCATTTTCATCCTCATCATCAAAAAAATGGAAAAGAAGCGTGAGCAGTGCGGCTGCACCGCCCAAAGAATGACCAGTCAGTAAGATCTTGGGTACATTCATCTCTTGAGCATATGAAAACGCCATGGGAAGTATTTCTTGTTTTACATACTGGGCTGCTTTGGCAACGCCTGAATGCAGAAACCCACCATTCCATGGAATATACTCTCCACCAAAACTAGTTATCCAGTCAGCAGCGCTGAGAGAACCGCGTAGAGCCACAACAATCGAGGGGCCATCACAAGACCTAACATCATAAAAGATGACGCAATGCGGCTGGAAAAGCTCATTGGACTGTGTAATATGAAGCAGGTCGCACTCCTTCAAATCCAAATAATTCAAGATAGCGCTCTTTTCCGAGCTTGGGTTGGTGATTATGTTTTGGAAGCTACGCCTTCCAAGAAGTGTGAGCCCCTTCCATCCGTACGAGGCAATCGCAAATTTGAAGGCATGCCTTGCCGAATCTATTGCCGTCTGATCTCGAATGCAGTTTTGCATTTTTTTACAAACAGGTGTAAGGGAGCACAGCCCGTTCTTTCGCTTCCACGTCTCAAAGCGTGCAAGGATGATCAAAGCACCCAACAGTGTGGAGTGCGAGTATGTTTCCAAGCCCTGTCCAAACGAAGTGAGCAATTTCAGAAGCACCCTGACGCCGAGATTAACTGTATCTTCATCTAGAAGCGTCCTGAGAGGCCTCAACCAAAGCGGCAGCCGTGTAGGAGAAATCTGGCGCTGTTGAGGACTGCCATTTTGATTGGCATCGTTAAGATTATCATCAATAGTGAAAGGTAGAGGGACAGGTGTTCCATTCATGATCATGGTGGAAACTCGAGCCAAAATCCGCGAGGTAGTCCCGGAGCGAGATTCCAACTCCCTCCATCCCTTTGAGGCGGCGTGATATGGGGGGCTCAATCCGAGTGTTCCAACCAATCGAAACCCACCAATAATGCAGTATTCATACACCCCAATAGTGACACTGTCAAACAGTAATCCATGCTCAGAAAGGGGAAAGAAAAAAGAACGCCCCGTAAAAGAAACCTCTTCTGCATTTTGATTTCTGCCAAAAATTACAGAAGACATGTAGTTGAACAGAGACGGTGATCTAAAAGAGCTCACAGAAATAGAATCGCCATCATCTGAATCGGGATTATCGTTGGATGACCACAAGTAAGATATTGGAAACTGGTCAACACTTTGCACCAAAGAAGTAGGCTGGGACAAAAATTGGGCTTTACAAGAAGGGGATGATAATGGGGAAACAAGTGGTGATGAAAATTGAGATGAAAATGACGAATCAATCGGTAATAGTAATGGGGAACAGGAAGAGGTGCACAAGGTGCAATCTGCTGGTAATTGGGTGAGACCCCCATCTTTCATATAGAAGCCACCAAAGCTAATCCGAAGAAGAGGACGCGTCAAGGGCCTTGAGGTTCGTATCCCATCAATTTTAATTTCCAGTTTTCTGGCGAAATTGTCGCCCATAAAGCTAGATGGCTGAAATTTGTAAATTTAAAATTTGATGTCATCAACGAGCTCTTTTGACGTGCTCTACAGAAAGGGGGAGCACGTTTCGCTCGTGGAGTCGTTCCCATCGTGGCTTGAAAGCAATATTGACACAAGCCTAGGCGACTCATCCATTTTTCATGCTCTGGACATCTACTTAACGGTATTGTCTGGATTTGGCTTAATTGCCGAATCCAAGTTGTTACCGGAATTCGACGAATATATGGAAATATTCTTCAAATTGAAATGTTCAGACAAAATCTCTCTGATGCCCGATGCGTTGTTTGAAAAGCATTTACTTATCCTTGTCGATGGGTATTCACAAATCGGAGTTGCCAAAGAAGAGTATTTCACGCATGTGAGAATGAAAAGGGCGCTTGGTGAGCCTCCATCCGAGAAGGTTCATCAAATTTACAGTCTAAAAATCGAACAAAAATCGGGCAAACGTGGAGGGTGGGTCGAGGCAATCAGAGGAAATCAACTTTTCGTGTCCCTTGAGAAATTCGCAGAAAAACTCAACACAAAGCTTAAAAATCCAAGGGCAATGGGGATAGGTGCCACCCTCTTTTTCGTATTGCTGATCGTTTTTTGGATTCGAAAACATGTGCCTCGCTTCTGGTCCAGGATGCTGGCTTCAAGTTCGCTACTAGCATACTCCTTGCTCGCTCCAATTTAGCAAGAATTTGACAAAATAAATAATTGATAATTTAGCAACGTCAAAGTTCCCACGCACCCGATAAATTCCCAATGTGATGGAGACCGCCATCATTGGAACACTGCGTTTTAGTAAAATCGTGATAAGCTTTTAACTGAATGCGAATTAGGAACAATTTACGGTTTTTTTCACTTTTATTGCAATTTTTCCGGATGCAAAAGTGCCGTATCAATTGGATAGCTCTGTCGATTTTGATCTTTCGCATTGTGAATTCGATCTTTATTACTTCTTACCTCGACCCAGACGAATATTGGCAATCCATGGAGGTCGCTTACAACTGGATCAATCCGCGGATCGAAGGTCGTGGCCTTACTTGGGAATGGATCAAAGGAAGCAGATCGTCACTTTTTCCTTTGCTTGCATTTACGCCAATATACGCTTTATTAAGGCTGCTCAAGCTGGAAGAAAATTTTCTTTTAATGGTAGCCACTCTCGATTTCATAATGTGCTAGAAATACGCGCCGAGAGTCGTAATGTCTGTTTTTGCAGCCATCACCGACTATTTCATTTACGTCATTTCGCTCAATAATCATGGAGCCGAAGTTGCAGCTTGGACGCTACTTACCACGTTGCTATCGCACTTTAATTTTACATACTCGACACGGGCCTCATCCAATTCCATCGAGGCATGTCTCTCTCTTTTGGCATATTATTTTTGGCCATGGAGCGGCAGCGACAAAGTGTCAAAGTTGTTTATTCCTCTATGTATTGTGGGCATAGGAACCTTAATCCGGCCCACACTAGCCATTCTCTGGGTCATTCCATGGGTCCTCTTGTTTTTCAAGCTCACAGAAAAGACGGACATGCTGAGAATGATAACGATTTCTGTGTTCACAATGTACACTGACCACTGATAGCATTAATCCTTTAGTTGCCTCATCATTGGGCTGGGGCTTTTTGTCGATTTTGTGTTCTATCAGCGGTGGCTCTTGACGTGGTACAATTTTTTCTGCATCAATCTTGGAGACGAGGGAGTCAGTTCGTATTATGGGACGCATCCGCTGCTTTGGTACTTTTTCTGCGCGATTCCCATCCTACTGGGGCCATTGGCACCCTTTTTTGTGCTGGGATCTGTAAGCTGTGATCGATCTTTGTTCGGATTTATGCTGCCTTTTATTTGTATTTTGTCTTTGGTGCCTCACAAGGAGTTGCGCTTTTTGCTGCCCATCTTCCCGATGATGAATATGATTACGGGGATCGGGTTTCATCGTTTTTACCACTCAACAAAAATCACTCACCGGAAGAAAGCCATTTTTATATCGGCTTCGTTTGCCATTTCGGCAATTGTATCGGTGTTATATTGCAGAGGCTTTTCGACCGCTGGAATTGCCATCACCGATCACTTGAACAAGATCGTTGGCACGAAAAGCGTGTTCTTTCTTTTTTCCCACGCGGCACCTCTTTATGCTGGCGTCTTGCGACCGGAGGCCAAACTAGACTATGTCCACATGGAACCGCCGTTTTTGAAAAATTTCCCCCATGTAAATAGGTAGGCCGTATGCAGCTTATGTTTAGATTTTCTCTTTTTCCGGGAAATAAAAACGAGCGGCAGACTTTAGAGCAACTGTCTTGTTCTGAACTTGGGACATGGATTACAGACAATGCCTGTGTGTATGACTTTATCGTGGCATGGGAATCTCTGGCCACAAAATGCCCCGATGCTTTGACACCATACAAGATGGTATTGATTTTGCCTTCATTTTTAGAAGCTCAAAATGTTGAATTCGCTGCCGTTTTTGGATCCTGGCGCCTCATTTAGGTTTATGCTTCTTTTTGAGCGGACAAAAAGTTGATGATGTAACACATAAATCTACCTTGTCACCAATTTTGATTGGCTTTCCACATTTCAACTGATCTGTATGTTTAATCACTTGATGGGTTGGCGAATAGGGTCCGTGTCATGCAAATCAAAGTCGTAGCGGATCACAGCCGGATCAAAAAGATCAAGGAAAAAATGCAAGTTTGATGAAATAAAATCAATTTTTAGCTTTTACAAACGCAAAACTCTTCACGCTACAAACACACTACCATGAAGGCATTAATTCTTGTTGGAGGTCCGTTTTCTCAGAGGCCTAACTGTAATAGGATTTGGAACCAGATTGCGTCCGCTCACGCTTACTCTTCCAAAGCCGCTGGTTCCGTTTGCCAATCAACCCATGATTTTGCATCAAATCGAGGCATTGGTTGCCGTTGGCGTGACCGATATCATCCTTGCCGTCAACTATCGGCCTGAAATCATGGTTGCCCATATGAAGGACTACGAGTCTAAATATAACGTCAAAATTACGTTTTCCGTGGAAACCGAACCGCTTGGCACGGCAGGCCCTCTTGCCTTGGCGAAGGCCATTTTTAATGAAACCCCTAACGAGTCCTTTTTTGTCTTGAACTCGGACATCATTTGCGATTTCCCTTTTGCCAAAATGGTAGCTTGGCACCTTTTTACAAGATTAGATTGAGTTCCACAAAGCACACGGCAAAGAAGGCACCATTTTGGTAACTCGAGTCGAGGAGCCATCTAAATATGGCGTGATAGTTACGCGCGCAAACAATCAAAGCGACCACGATGGCCCTTCGTTTGGCGGCGATCAATTAAACGGACACGCAGCCTCGCCCACGCTTATTGACCAATTTGTGGAAAAACCGAAAGAGTTTGTCTCAAATCGAATTAATGCCGGGATTTATCTTTTCACTCCGGCAATTTTGCAGCGTATTGAGCCAAAACCGACATCCATTGAGAAGGAAGTTTTCCCCTTGATGGCGTATGATGAGCAGCTACATGCTTTTGATTTGGATGGATTTTGGATGGACGTGGGCCAGCCAAAAGATTACCTTGCTGGAACTGGTCTGTATTTAAACCACCTATCTCCAAAGCTTTCTAAACAATCTCTGGGCGACTTGAATTGTGTTGGAAACATCCTTGTGCATCCCACAGCCAAGATAGGAGCTGACTGTAAATTAGGACCAGATGTGGTCATTGGTCCCGGAGTCACCATCGGTGATGGCGTGAGAATCTCCCGCTCTGTTATTTTTGAAAAATGCAACATCAAGTCCCATTCTTTTGTGCAGAACTCTATCATTGGCTGGAACTCCCATGTTGGAAGATGGAGCAGAGTGGAGGGAATCTCCATCCTCGGTGATGATGTGATCGTCGGTGATGAAGTTGGTGTTGTTTAGCAATAATTTTAGGTTTATATAAATGGGGGCTGCATTCTTCCCCATAAAGAGATTTCGACAAGTATTACTGAGCCAAGAATTGTGATGTAAAATACAGCGATCTCATCAATAAAGTGGTATGGAATACTTGACCGAAATAAACGTTTATACGCAGAAAGGGCTTAGAGCGGGCTGGGCTGGGCTGGGCTGGGCTGGGCTGGGCTGGGCTGGGCTGGGCTAGAAGACATCAATTTGTGCTTTCATTTTCAGATACGCAATTTACATAATTTGTTTAAGTTACCAAAATTGGGCGATCAGTTTTGCTGATACGGCTGCACTGTTGTTGTATTTACAGCGGCAGAGGTCACCATGGATGAGGCAAGAGATAGCTCGTATTCAGACTGGGAGATCATAAGGGTTAAATATTTTTCTATTTGTTTTGACGTTTGAATTGACGAGGAGTTGCTATTCTCCTGGTTCAAAACACATCTTCTCATGAACGCCAAAAAGCGGCGACTGTATACAGCGGGGGATACGGCCGAAATGGACAGGCTGGAAGAGCGAAACGACTTAAAGGCGTGCTCAATTTGCTTCTTACACGAATATGGCGTTAAAATATCTATGATTCCGAGATAATAAATTTCCGTTGGCCGTTCTGGCGCTACCGTGACGGGATTTCGGAAAGCTTCTTCTGTTCCAGAGAGGATTCCTCCCTCTTCGCTGTAGAATACAAAATTGGACCTCTCAGCAGGAGCGTTGTGCTTACTGTTGTGAAAGGATGGCAAAGAGGATTGCTGCAGCTGGTTGATGGTTGCCGATCTATTTGCGGCATCATCACTTTGCTCCATCAAGCAGATGGGGTCCTCTTGTGTTAAGGGACGAGCGAACCCAACCAATGCAGATTTAATGGAAGATGGGTATCGCCGCTTGTTCTTTTTGTGATGGCGGTGCACATTTGAGGACGTCAAATCCCGATCAGCGGGCTGGTTTGCGTGGCCCTCTTCGATAGGCGCCGTTTCAAACACAGAAAGCGCCTTATCTCTTATCCTTTCTCGATTTCCTCTTTGTATGGAGTGGATGCCAACAAGAAGCGAATAGTCCATAATGTTGCATGAAGTAAGGAACTCGACATCATGTTCCAATTGAGTCATCACAAGTGCCGCTTTTCGTGGCGAAAGGAGCAATTTCTTTCCGGAACGCAACCAATTAAGGTCTTTTCTTGGTTCTCTAGGGCATCTTGTAAGCTTTCGAACAGATACTTGACGCCCGTGAAAAGATCCTTTCAAATCGTAAATTTCGTGGATGTCCTTTGACGGTGGAAATACATTTCCCATCACAACAAAATAAATGGGCGGAGACCCTGGCCGCAATCCACTTATTCGATGTAGACCTAAAAACCGTGTTAAGAGCGTGTTTGGAAATCTAAAACCGAAATAAAAATAACTTGAACCAACCTTTTGACGTGTGCGCAATAGTCTGGCAGCAAACTGAGAAGGGACGAATGCTCCACCTTTCCAATGGTTTTTATAAGAAATCGGTAGTCGTGGGAATAGTAAAAAAACGATCCACTTCTCCCGGGGCTACCCAATTCAGAGAGCACATATCTAGGGGTGAGGGAAGTCTATCAGAAATAAATGGCATTCGCAACTTACCAGGTAGTCTTCAGTATCGATGAAAAATTGCTTTCGCAAAAACCTAAAAGCGATCGGCGCATAGTCTCTGAATTCTCTACTTTTTCGTTTGGAACATGAGCAGCAACCGCCAGTGGTCTCCTTGTTTTCAAGGGAAAGCTTGACACGCTTCTTGCATGTCTTTTTGTCGATTCCCTCAAAAGAAGGCGCCGCTATTTGTGTGTATTTTTCTTCTCCCTTCAAAACAGCCGATCGAATTCCAGTCAGCATGTAATACATCAACAGGTAGCTGGAGTGATTTTTTCCAATTCTGGTCCCATAAGGGTTGACACTGGTCGAGTTATTTGAAATCGCAGTAAACTCAGAGCGTGGGGTGCACTCAAATCGTGCATGTTGAACTTCAACTTCGGGCTGGCACTCTGCATGAGAGGTGGATGCCAGTGGGGACCGGGCGCAAGCCAGACTGCCTTTACCATTAGGCTCGGGAGGAAGTGTTGGCATTGCAGGGATTTCGGAGACATCACTAGACGTGGGATATATCTCGATGCTCGGTTCATCTGGTTCTGACACTGTTTGGATCATGGAGACGGAAGATATGGAACATGCTTGTGTAAACGAGCTTAGACTAAGAGTTCGGAGCGTTGCCCTGGGATGCGAATTTAACAGCAAAGACCCGCTGTGCGATTTTTTTTCAAGTGCATTTTCGATACTTTCCTGAGCCTCCGGAAATTCTTCATCTGTCTTATGCGGCGACGGGCATTTCGTTTCCTGCATTAATGGCTCCTAGTAACAAAAAATACCTAATCACAGTTTATATTGAAAGTTTATTCCGAACGTGATTGGCTGGAAAGCGAGGCATTTAACAAAGCATTCAATTTAATTTAATTTAATTTATTCCGAAAAAGCATCGTCATTTGATGACAACTGTGAATCAGAATCCTCGCTATTTGGTATTTCATCAGCTGAGGGGGTATGTTCTTGCACCTGCTCAATTTTCAATTTTGAGAGCTTTGATAAGAGATCCTTTGAAGATTCTCCAGATGCCGAATATCTCTCGATAACCTTCATAAGCAACTCCGGATCTCGAAGAAGGGTATCAAGAACCTCAAACTCGTCATATTCCTGATTGCAATCTAGCCCGTCTGAATTTTCCTCGTCAGAAGTAAAAAAGAAATCATCTCCATCTTCATCTTCGCCTGCTTGATTTTCGGCGACAGACTCTTGCATATGAGTGGGTCCATATATTAAGGATCGAAGTTCATCCTCTGAAAAAGCATCCCATAATTGGAGCTCCATGTCACCAGATTCGTTTAAACAAGCAAATTTACCATCTGAAAGGGATTTTTGAATCAAATTGGAATCCACAATGATAGGGCTCTCCAAATAGCGGAGAGCATCAAGAGCTTCTTTGGTTGAGACTTGTTGATCCAAATGAAGACGGGCATATTTTACTGCTTCCTCAATATTAGCTGAAAAGGGGGCAGTAAAATTAGAATCGCCTGAATTTTTGTCAATATATTCCAATAGGATCATGTAACCCCATGCTAGCTTTGTCCCCAGCGTGGATGACAAATCTTGACTTTCCGAAATATATAAAGGTAATTGTTGGCTGTCTAATAGAGCAAAACACTTTTTTGTCAACGGAAGGAGAACCTTAACGGGTTCCTCCGGCTCAAAGTAGCTTTGATGTTGCTTTGTTATTTTGGAGAATTCTTTTACAGAGACCTTGTGGACATTTGAGTTATAGGTGTCACATGTAACTGCAATGAGAGACGGATTTTCTAATAAAATGCCGGCAATTTTCCTTGGAAGAGCAATGGGATATAACCGCTTACCACTTTGCAGGATAGAATCAAGATACACATCAGAGGAGGCTAATAAATTGTCCAGAATGGAGCACATCTCCCTGTTCATGGACGTAATGGTCATTGGAGAGGAAACAGCGGCCAGTGCATCTTTCAGTGGGACCCTTTTTTTTGACGAAATAAGCTCTTTGGAAATAAAGTGGAATTTGCCAGCCGAAATAAAAGTCCTGTTCATGGATATTTCGTCGCTCTTAACCCAGGATGGAAGCATAGATCCGCACGTAACCAATAGCAAATCTCCATAAAAATTATCCTGCACACTAGAGCGGTTAAAGATAAACACGCCAACCTTATGATAAGCTCTGGAAGTGCCTTTGAAACGTGCAAAAGGGTCTTCACAATGATGATCCATATTTTAGCGTCGTCAATCAGCGAAAATGTAAAGTATTTTCCAACCAAGCAAATATTTTCCCACGCAGACGATTCTGGATCGAGGCAAAGATTAAACTTTCCAATGCTCCACAAATAGGCCGAAGAAAATTCATTCAAAAGCATGGCAATTTTGATCAAGTAGGACGTTGCAAACGAAATGTAGGAATCGTTCGAGTCGAAGCTCTTTTTCGCGTCCGATTTACACTTTTCACTCCAAAATACGGAGTATTTGCACAAATATGGCTGGTCATCGCCAAAGCCCAAAGGCCGATGCGAAGCAGGCATTAAAAATTACGGTCCAAATCCGCCAAAAATAAAGTTTAAATTTAGCGTAGCTATCACCCTGCCCTTGCCCCAGCGCCAGGATGCCCAACTACGAGCCTCTTGAAAAAAAGCTTGCTGAATTGCAGTCAATGCAATATTCTATTTACCAAAAGATGCAAACCTTGGCAGAGAATTCAAATAGACTCCAAAATTTAGCCAATAAGCATGCTTTGATGTATGAAATCCCGTTTATTAAACCTAGTTTCCTTGCCAACCAGGAGGCAACAGCGGAGCCAGAGGAGCGGCCTCCGCATTCAGAGCTAGCGCGCGCTGATAAATGACGGATCCCACGAAGCTTGCGAAAGAATTGATTTAAAAATAGAACCAGTGAAAATGACATGTGTCTCATCGTCGAATGCTGATAATTAGGCACTAGGATGTTTCGGATATTTATTAAAGATAACTATGCCATAGGAAGGTCAGCTTCGCACAGAATACACGCGCAATCAATGTGATAGGTGGCTTTAAGTGCAGCTCTTCTGGCGGCCGATGACATTCCGGTTGATAAGGGGATGTAAGACATACAAATCTCATCGCCCTTCTCAATACGATGAGATGCAAAGACTCTCAAGAAATTGTTGTTGTGTGGAAACACTAAAGAGGTGTTTGGATCACAGGAGTGCTGCATGTGCGCCGAAATGTGGTATAACCCGTGTCCGATTAGTTTGGATTTTTGGAGAGGGCTTCTTGATCTTTCTAGTAGCTGATTGATTGAGATAGATGACGAAGATTGGGCAGAACCAACCGAATGCTCGGCCTGATTATCATCAGAAGAGGACGAGTTGTTGCTGATGCTTTCGACAACGGGCGAGTCAAAGATTACCGGGGAAGATGTCGAAATCGACTCGTCGACCCAGGATGATTCGTCTTCGTCGGCATCCTTTTGTGCGGCAAGAGCTGGCAATTTTTCACCCTTGTTTTGATGCTCGCTTTTTGTTGATGCGTTATCATTACTTTGCAAGAGGGAATTTTCCTTCAAATCAGACAATGCGGGTGAAAAATCGGGTATTTTTGCGGCCGGAGATTCAACGCTAGCATCGACTTGATCGTCAAATCCCGCGGGAAGGGGAATGCCAATGCTATTGAAAAGAAGCGTGCCCTTAATGGAAGAGTAGCGATTGTCGTCCAAATCTAAAATAAGCAAACTTAAAAGTACGTTCGAAAATGTCGGGAGAAATGCCGGAAAATAGCGACTTCAAACATGTGGCAATGTTGTCGTCCGATGGGAGAACAGGCAGCAACAAGGGCTTCATAAATTCGAAATGAGATGACGTCGTCGTTTTATCTGCGAGCGGTTCTTTAGAAAGCTCTCTTTGCTCTTTAATTTCCTTTTCTTCAAAACATAACACCGAAAGGTATCTGGCGACAAGCAGAGAATACTCGCTGTGTTCCCTTTTAGCTATGTCAAGCAAGCGGCCAAACGCCTCATTTCCACAAATGCTAGAGTGGTGCGATTTCCTGGCTGAAACCAGACAGGCTTCTGAACAGTACAATGAACAACGGCATTTGTCACATGCCACTTGCGAAAGGTCCAGAGTTTTAAAGCAAAAGTCGCAAAACTTGCCACTGGATGTGTATTGCAAATACAATGAGGCAGCATCGGGCTTCTCCTCATAAAGGACCGTTCCTGCTTCGATATCCTTCGTTGCAAAAATGGCCCACGTCTGTTCAATCTCTCCATTAGCCAAAATGAGCTTCTTCGGAGCAATTGTGATCGGCGAATTTGTTGGAATTATCGACTTGAAGTAGGAAACGATTCTCTTCAAGCCATCTTCTGTGATGAGCTTGGTAAGTGCGTTAAAAACAGGCTTCGGAAGAACCTGCCGAAGCGAAACAAGAAGCTCGGTAGGGTTAGGGATCATTTTAATAGCCTTGAAAAATAATTCCACCGCTGCTTCGGTATATGAATTTGACAGGTTTGGCTCGTCGCTTTTAAACGACAAAAGCTCCTCGCCCTTGACAAGTAGCGAATAAAAGATGCGCTCTCTCTCGGCAGGCGGCCGTGCATAGATTTCCTCAATGCTAAGTGCCATTTCTGGGATCATTTCAATAATCGAGCTTGAGGAAAGCACATTTTGGGGAGATTTGCTTTTGCTGTTGCCTTTGCTTTTTCCTTCCTTTGCGGTCTTTTTCTTTTGCTTGTGTGCTTCAATGTTCTTTTCTTGCTTGATTCGCTTTTGCAGCCCTTTATCTTGTTTGCGTTTGTAATCAAAATATATGGCATAGCCGATCACCAGGGCCGCTGCGGTAGCAATTGCCGTTACAGCAGTTGCTGAGCTAAACAAAGCTGTCCTATTCATCAGCTGCAAATAAAATGCAAATGTTAAATTCCACTTAAATTTTATTTCGTTTCAAGCCATTTTCGTTTCTAACGGAAAAATTTTAATTTTCAACCATTCCAGCCACTCCGAATCATCTGGCGACACATGGATTTCGTACAGGAGTTCATTAAAAATTGATTCAACGGGTATATTATTAGACTGTTTGGATTGCCTGATAGATGATTCGGAGCCATCAGCAAGCCTTAAATATTGCAAAAATAGATACCGGCCCTTATTGAAGATTTCCGAATATGAAAGCAAGGCAGACACTTGAAGGATATCCTCGATCGCAGAAAGCATGTGAACGATAAACTGAAAATGCGTGACAGAAATAAAGTTTCGTCTAAGTTTGACCAGAAATACCTGAATGCTATAAAGGATCCGGTTGTGGATGCGTCTGTGATGGAGAAAGGACGGGAAAAGCCTCAAGGCAGAAACAGAATCAATGTTCGATTTTAAAGCCCTATCTGAAATTGATTTGGACCCTGCAGCTAGCGGATCCATGTGAACAACCTCAATAAGCGAGCTCAAAGTGCTGTCGAAATATTCAACAACGCGAAGATGCGGCCGCATGTTATCAGCATTTTCGGTCTTTTTTACCAGGCTAACTGAAGGCGATAAAGTGAGCCATTTGTGAGAAAAGAAATCCTCAAATGAAATGCGCTTAAGAGGATCCACGGTAAGCAGCCCCTTGAGTAAAGATATGCATTCCTCAGACAAGCTTGTCCAGATATCTGGAGCTCCCTCTTTAGCCAGTTTATAAAAGAGCCTGCTAACCAATTCCGGATCTTGGTATTTCTTTGCAAGCGCAAAATGATTGGGAGCCCGAAACGGGGGCCCTCTTGCGAAAAGCAATTCGAACATAATACAGCCGACACTCCAAAGATCGGCCTTTGCATCGTATCTTTCATTTTGAAGGATTTCTGGAGCCATATAGAGTGGCGAGCCACACATCGTGTCGGCCATGTCAAGTGGATTCATATGCCGAGCAAAGCCAAAGTCGGCAACCTTGAGCAAATACTGGTTGAAAGAGGTACAGGGTCCACCGCTCTCTTGGTTCAAAGAAAGGGATGGCAAATGCTCACACTTGACAAACAATAAATTCTGCGGCTTGATGTCCCTGTGAACGAGTCCCAAATATCGCAGTGCTTTTAGAGCATTGGCTACAATTGGAAAGCAGTAAAGATACCTAATTGCACGATCAAGTCTTTCACATTAGCCTCTCTGGTCCAATAGAGCGGAGGCAGTAAGGCCTTTTGCAGGGGCTTCAAGTCGGAAGCGTTTACGAGATCTGGTTTCCTTTGGAGGGCATGTAGATGTGTCGCGTGTTCCCTGTCCCATTGCTTCTGCTCTAAAAGAATTGAGGACAAATCCCCGGACTGACACCACTCCATGACAATACAAATCACCGCTTTACATTTGATCATCTCATAGAACTTGATGATATTTTCAGAAGAAGGGCTGGAATGGCGGTCTTCAACCTCGCTCTGAACGTCATTCAGTTTTTTCAATATCGAAATCTCCTGCCGCAAATGAAATTCCAGCTTTTTGGTGATTTTACGCCGCTGCACAACTTTGATTGCGACAAATTTGTCTTCATCTCTGTCCGAAGCCGGGTTTATCCTCGTTGCAAGGTATACGGTAGAAAAAGACCCCCTTCCTATTTCCCTGATGAAAAGATACTTTTCTAAATCGAACGGCTGATCTGGATGCCGCATGTTTGGCTTTGGCGAGAGCGATAGCATCAATGATGACTTTCCACAAAAACAAGTTTATCATTGCTTCAGAAGGGGCCAATCGAATTTAAAATTTAAATTTTATTTGGAACTTTGGCCTGGCGAGGGATAAACCGAACTTTTAAAGGCTAAATTGCATACATTTTTGATTTTACAACTTTGATGAAGATAGCCTCAAAGTCCTACGTCAAATGGAAGTTACTACGAGCTCGGCCTGTGCAGCAGCATCTGATATTTGTGTTTTGGATACCATTGTATGTTTTCTGGATTTCATATGAAGTGATGGCCCAGTCTTCTTTTGGAGACATTTCCATTATCCTTCTGTCTGCGATTGGAGCATTTCATGCACTGGCCTATCTGATCGCATATCACTGGTCGCTTTTCGTCAATTCTTTCAATGCATTTAAAAGATCGCAATGTATTGAAGATGCCACACATATTTACTTGGAGTCCTTTTTGTCACCCGTTGCAATTGTTCCGATTTTACAACATTCCGATTCGGCTGGAAGAAAGTACTTTTCTTTCACCCATTTAGAGGCGCGTTTCTTGTGCTTTGATGGACAAACCTTCATCAAAGCAAAATGGCTTTCTTCTCTTCACCATGACGATCGCGATTGCCAACATCCAAAGTCTCTTACTTGCGGAAATGAGTCGGAAAATGTGATCCGTTTCCTTAAACAGGTTTTCGGAAAAAATTCGTTGACCATTCCAATTCCGTCTTTTATGTCGCTGATGAAAGAGCACGTAATTGCGCCCTTTTTTGTTTTTCAGTTGGTATGTGTGGGACTGTGGATTTTGGATACTTACTGGTATCACTCCTTGATGATACTTGCGATGCTCTTTATTTTCGAGGCAACAGTGGTGTTCCAGCGTTTGAAAAATATGAATGAAATTAGAGGCATGGCACCTCCACCGCAATCCTGTCTTGTTCTGCGGTGTAATCAATGGGTGTCTGGCGTTTCCTCAGAAGATTTATTACCAGGCGACATCATCGGATGTAAGTGACACCCTTTTCATGTTGTAGTACCTAGCGAGTTTGGTGATGTTTTATCGGTCCCTGCCGATATGCTTATCTTGTATGGCTCTTGTATTGTCAACGAGGCACTGTTGTCTGGTGAAAGTACCCCTTGTATGAAGGAGAGTATGGAAATTTCGGCTGCCGTGATGGACGAGATAAAACGGAAAAAATCGATTTCTTTCAAGTCGGCATTTAAAACAAGTGCCATTTTTGGCGGTACCAAAATCCTTCAAATTACCTCGAACTCCGCAACCGAGAATGGTAACCTATTGTTTTTAACCAAAAGATCTTAACCTTGCATATGGTGAGGTGCCGCAGGGGATTGCCCTGATTGCCCTTGTGGTCCGAACGGGATTTCTAACAACTCAAGGAAAGCTTGTTCGAACCATGTGCCTCGGCCGGGAGCGGATTAGTGCCAATAATGCCGAAGCCGGATATTTCATTTTGTTTCTGCTTTTTTTTGCCATTGTTGCTGCCATTTACGTTTGGAATGCGGCATTGACGGAGGATCCAGATCGATCTCGCTGGCGTTTATTGGTGCAATGTCTGCTGATCATCACATCGGTGGTACCCCCTGAGCTCCCCATGGAGCTTTCCATGGCCATCAATGCTTCGCTTCTTGCTCTCTCAAAATTGTCCATCTTTTGCACAGAACCATTCAGACTGCCCATTGCGGGGTCAATTGATGTGTGTTGCTTTGATAAAACCGGTACGCTTACTCAAAGCCATCTCGAATTCATCGGGATTACAGGCATCGATTCTGGCAAAAAAAAGTCAACCCCATGTGCTCTGATAAAGGATCCGGGTGAAATCCCAGGAACTGCTCAATTGGTGATTGCATCGTGTCATTCTTTAGTGTTGTTGAACAACACCGCTGCTGGAGACCCATTGGAGGTTGCTGCGTTGGATTCGATTCCATGGTCCTTGTCTTCAACTAAAGGTAGCAGTAAAATTGTGGAAAAAGTTGCCAATCTTCCGGCCCTGTTGGCAATCATGAAACGGTTTGCATTTTCGCCTTCTTTGAAACGAATGTCTGTGATGGTTGAGATCGAGCAAACTTCGAAAACCATTTCATCGGCCCTACCGGAAGTGCAAAATAGAACACGCTTTGTCACGTGTAAAGGCGCTCCAGAGTCTATTTATCCCCTTTTGGTTGACCCGCCCACATGGTTCTTTGATGTTGCCGAGCAATATGCGTCCGAAGGCTGTCGGATCATCGCCTTGGCATTTAAATGCCTTGGAATCAAGGGAAAGGACCTTGATCGTGTGTCTGCTGAATCGGGACTCACTTTTGCTGGCTTTTTGATATTTGGCGCCTCAATGAAAAAGGAAGCATGCGAAGTGATTGCAAAGCTATCTGCTTCGCATCACAAAAATGTCATGATCACCGGGGATCATGCGCTGACGGCTATCCATGTTGCGAAAAAGCTTCAGTTTGGACAGGAGGATGCCGATGATAGCTCCTCTTGCACGTCTGAAAAACCCACGTATTTGCTGCTCGATTGTGATGTTGAAGAGAGCGGGGACGAAAAACAGCGCTCCATTGCCGTTTCTAACTTGCATTCGAAATCGAACTCTGTCTTTTCTGATGACGAGCAGCTAATTTCGTTTTTATCTTCGCCAGGTTTGTCAAAGTTTCGCATTGCAATAACGGGGCCAGCCTTTGAGGTTTTGTCTTTGCGGTGTCCCCAGTGGCTGCAATCATGGCTTGTCAAGAGAATTACCGTTTGTGCCCGGTTTTCGCCTTCCAACAAGGTAACCAGTTGTGAGGAGGGTTTACATCATCATCATAGGAAGACATTTTGCGGCTGTTCAAGGCTCTCGGCTGGTCTACTTTGATGTGCGGGGATGGTACCAACGATGTTGGCGCGCTCAAGCAGGCGCATATTGGTTCGTGTGTTTTTTTTGACAATTTCGCTAGGCGTGGCTTTGTTGGACGGCACTGCAGAAGATTTGGAAAAGATCGCGCAAAATCAACGGAAAATGGCCATTAAGCGTCGTTACGAAGACCTTCGACGAATGGGCATATCGGAGGCACAGATTGCCAAATTACAGGCCAATGACAGAAACTTTGCAAATCTGGTCAATGACGACGAAGAAGAGGTTCCCATGCTTCAGTTTGGCGATGCCTCGGTTGCCGCGCCGTTTACCTCGAAAATCGGGACCCTAGAATCGGTTTGCCATGTCCTCAAACAAGGCCGTGCCACGCTTGCGGCCACCTTTCAAATGTACAAGATTCTTGCTTTGAATTCTCTGATCACAGCATATTCCCTTTCTGTTCTACATAATGCCGGGGTGCGGCTCGGAGATTTCCAATTGACCATCTCTGGCCTACTTTTGTCGTCCTGCTTCTTTTTTTTATCCCGATCAAAGCCTCTGTCTACGTTGAGTAAAGAGAGGCCTGCTTCTACCATTTTTACCGTATACTCGATCACTTCCATTATTGGCCAGTTTGCGGTCCACTGCTTTGCTCTGATCTATTTGGACCAGTGTATCCGCATCTATAGTCCAGAAAAACCGCTGCTCCATTCGGAAGACTATACGTTCACTCCATCTTTGATGAATTCCTCTATTTATCTGTTGAGTTTACTAATGCAAGTGTCAACATTTGCAATCAACTATCAAGGACCGCCCTTTAGAGAATCAATGCTCGATAATGGCGGGCTCAAAAAATCGCTTTTCGCCGTCGGTTCTTTTGTTTTGGTTTCGGCCGCCGAAATCTTTCCCGACATGAACGAAATGATGCAGATCGTCCCATTTCCACCTGGATTTTCGGCCAAATTGTTATTTTTAATGATCTCCGACTTTTTCATTTGTTTTGTTATCGAAGTGACATCGAAAAGACTCTTTTCTAAGGTTGAGCCAAAATGGAAGACGACCTCCAAATAAATTGTGGCATCCCGTTTTTAAATTGTAATTTTTCCCGGAAATTTTATTTCTCAAGCGGGATTCCAAATTGCCGTGGATCCTCGATACGCCGCTACCTATGGATGTGACTCCAATCATGTCGACTCGGTTTCGCCAAACAGCATCTAGGACACTTAATGACACAAAAACACCGCTTATCAGGCAAAAGAAGAATCCCATTCCAAATATTACCCCCAAACCGCCTTTGGAGATTGCTGCAAATACACCGCAGCAGAACCACATCTCCATGCGAGCTGCCTTTTCGGCCGTGGTGACAAGCTTGTTATTCCAGTTTAAGGAGGCATGCGAGGATTCTCTATTGGACGTCCGGATATGCGATTTATTCGATTTGTCTGCAGGCGTATTTTCGGACGATCTCAGGCATATTATTTTGCCATCAATGTTACAGTATGTCGTGCCCACATTAACGCAATAGTAAAAATCTGCTAATGCCATTTGGCAGTTCTGAAGAACCAAAAAGCGACCACCGCCACCAGGAAGTCGCAATGCAAACCCCGCGCAAGGCAGAGGTGTTAAAAACCCCAAACACTAAAATCACAATGTCGGCAACGGCCGGCTGCATCCGATTTGGCATTTCGACCATTGAGGGCAATGTACAGGCAAAACATGGGTTCGATGCCCAGGGGCTAGATACGCCATTGGCAAAAAGAGGGAGGCCAGCTCATACCCAACGCAAGCCAAAGGAATATAGTAGGGAATTTGTGAAAAGTTAATTTTAGCTGTTGAATTGGATGACCAGAAGGAAGATACCGTGCTGTTGTCGACGCTGCTGCAATGCAATAATGGAGACCAGGAAAGGGTCAAGGTTATGTTAATCAATCTACAGGCCAAGATCAATTCAATGGTTTCGTCGCTGTCGACAAATTGAAAATAAACTGTAAAATACGAATCGGGCCACCAGATTATGGGCCATTGTTAGGCAACCGTCCACGGAACCATAGATAGTAGCGAGTCACGCGAGCTTTTAATAATAAAGATTTGCACCCCAAATTTATTTTTCATAATTGATTATGGACCATCTTAGCAAATTAACCGAATCCACGCTGAATATTTCCATCAATCCATGCGAGTTGAGTCCGGAGCAGAAAATCGAGCTGTGCAAGTCATTTGCAGAGGAGATCATCCAGGAAGATGAGCTTTTGAAGCTTTTTAGCTCCTCTAAAGGCCCGCTCACCGCATATGACGGTTTCGAACCGTCCGGGCGAATGCACATTGCTCAAGTAGAAAATTGGCTATGCTAACATTAGGGGCTGTTAAAAACAATCATCGTCAATAAATTGGCAAAATGCGGCGTCAATTTCGTCTTTTGGGTTGCGGACTGGTTTGCTCTGCTCAACAATAAACTTGACGGGGATCTCGGCAAAATCCAGGATGTCGGCCGCTACATGATCGAGGTTTGGAAGGCCGCTGGAATGTGCATGGATTCTGTAAAGTTTCTCTGGTCTTCTGAAGAAATTTTGAAGCGCCCAGATGAATATTGGTCTTTGGTCTTTGACATTGGAAGGAAAAATTCTCTAAAAAGGGTGATGAGGTGCACCCAGATCATGGGTCGCTCAGAATCAGATGACCTGTGTGCCTCCCAAATCTTTTACCCCGTTATGCAGTGTGCAGACATTTTCTTCTTGAAGGCCGATATTTGCCAGCTCGGTATGGATCAACGAAAAGTAAATATGCTTGCAAGGGAATATTGTGATTCCCAGAAGAGCCGTGGTCAGATCAAAAAACCAATTATTCTATCTCATCACATGATGCTGGGGCTCGGCGAAGGCCAGGAAAAAATGTCCAAGTCCGTCCCTGGATCGGCGATCTTTATGGAAGATTCTCCCGAGGATGTTAACTCAAAGATCAAGAAGGCATTTTGCCCATATGGCGTGGTCGAAAAAAACCCCGTTCTTGACTACTACAAAACCATTGTTTTTCCGCTGACCCCAGTAGTTGTTATTAGCGGAAAAGATAAGGAAAACAAGGAATTTTTCAAAGAATATCGCAGCTACGCCGATTTCGAGTCGGACTTTAAGGCAGACATCATTACGCCAAAAGATGTCAAGACATACTTGGCCCTCCGAATCAACGAGCTTCTTAGCCCAATACGAGAACATTTTGAGACCAATGCAGAAGCTAAGGCCTTGCTTGCTCGCATCAAAAAGTTCAATGTCACTCGCTAGTTTTGGTCAAATCGAATTAAACTCGAATTAAAATTAAATTTTTGTACAATTGCCAAAAACAAGCCTAGCAATTTTTTTACACAATCATTAACAGAGCCTTGGCGCTTTTAAGACGAGTTCCCTCCTGCAAATCTACTAATCAGATTGTGTTCATGTCGACCCCAACACCGAATGAAAAAGTTTCTTCCGATTTAAAGCTGCATTTGGACCCCATTACTGGGGAGCAAGTCTCCAAATCCGAGCTCAAGCGACGTCTAAAGCAGCGAGAGGCAGAGGCTGCGTCTCGGCTTACACGTTCCGCAGAAAAGCTTGCAATCACCAACGACGACAAACCAAATCACTTGGACGAAGATGATCTGGATCCCAATCAATATTACGAGAAACGATCTCTCATCATTTCCGAGCTGAAAAAGAGGCCCGAAACATATCCATTCCCACACAAGTTCGAGGTGTCCATTTCAATTCCGGAGTTCATTTCGAAATACGAGCATTTGGAGAATGGCAGCCATCTTTCTGAGGTCTCGCTTTCGGTAAGTGGCCGCATTTACTCCAAACGGACAGCAAGCTCGAAGCTCTTCTTTTATGACCTCTTTGGCGATGGGGCAAAGGTCCAAGTCATGGCTAATTACCAGTATGACATGAGGAATTGAGTTTTAATTTTAGATTCTACGCCGGAGATTCTGATGCCGATTTTCCCGCCATAAATGAGCTCTTACACCGGGGAGATATCATTGGCGTGGTGGGAAGCCCCGGTCGCTCCAAGAAGGGAGAATTGTCGATATTTCCCTCTAAGCTGATTCTTTTGTCCCCATGCCTACGCATGCTTCCAAAGTCCCATTTCGGCCTCAAGGACCAGGAGACCCGCTATCGCCAGAGATACTTGGATCTTATCATGAACAAGCCTGTTTTTGACAGATTCATCTTCAAGTCCCGTCTGATATCGTTTCTAAGATCCTATTTGCACGAGATGAATTTCATTGAGGTTGAAACGCCCATAATGAACATCATCCCCGGTGGCGCATCTGCCAAGCCGTTTATTACTCACCACAATGACTTGGACATGAAGCTGTACATGAGAATTGCTCCCGAGCTGTATTTAAAGATGTTGGTCGTAGGAGGCTATAACCGTGTCTTTGAAATCGGGCGTGTCTTTAGGAATGAGGGCATTGACTTGACACATAACCCTGAATTTACAATGTGCGAGTTTTACATGGCGTATGCCGATGTCAACGACCTTTACGGCATTACTGAGGATCTGCTCCACAAGATGGTTACAAAGTTGAACGGAAGCGCACAGGTTACATTCCATCCGCTTCATTCCAATACCCCGATTGAGATTGACTTTACGCCTCCATACAAAAGACTTCCAATGATCCCCAGCTTGGAGGAGGCTCTGAAAATCACGTTTCCGCCTGCTAGCACCTTCCATACAGACGAGTTCAATGCCTTCCTGAACGATCTCTGCATCAAACACAAAGTTGAATGCTCTGCGCCCCGTACAAGTGCTCGGCTATTGGACAAGTTGGTTGGGGACTTTTTGGAGACTCAGTGTATCAACCCGACATTTATTACGGAACATCCACTGATCATGAGTCCGCTAGCCAAGGATCACAGATCCATTCCCGGGCTAACAGAGCGCTTCGAGCTTTTTGTTGCCGGAAAGGAGCTTTGCAATGCATACACAGAGCTCAATGATCCAATAGAGCAGCGCATTCGATTCCAGCAACAAAGCTGTGACAAGGAAAAGGGCGATGATGAGGCGCAGCCTATTGACGAGGGCTTTATCACTGCACTTGAGCATGGCCTTCCACCGACCGCTGGATGGGGCTTGGGCATCGATCGTCTCACCATGTTCCTGACCGATTCCTACAATATCAAAGAGGTGCTCCTTTTCCCTGCAATGAAGCCCGAAGCCAATTGAGCTTTTCTTATTTTTTATCATTAAAACTTTTGTCTCAAGTTAGCCGACCCCGATCCTTGGGTTAGAATTGCATTAAAAGCAAATAACGTTGGCATCAAGCTATCTGGGGTTTACATGCAGAATTGCACCACAGCTATTCCGATGACCATCGATGGAGTGACTGCAAGGTTTCGTTGGATAACTTTCGCAATCGATGAAAGTTTTCAAGCTCATCTGACGAGAGTATCGATATAACGTCCTGCGGCTTTTGCGGTGAAATCGATGAATATCTTCCTACCCTTCCGGCCATATGGATGTAACTAGCGACGGAATCAATTGGCCCAACAATGATGACTGCACTGAGGTCTCCAAAATGCATACCCCGGCAATCCTCGCTTGATCCAATCAGTACCGTTGTTTTGGAGGAGTCAATTGGTTTTTGTTCAGTAAAATACGAAATTTGCATCTGTGGAAGAGAGGGATTCATCAAGGATGCTTCGGCATATTCCTTCAAAACGCTTTCAACAAACTCTGATTTTGAAACCGTCTTGGGAACAAACACATGAAGAAGAGATTTCTGATACCGGGTTTCCATAGATAAAGAGGCAACAACAGTTGCTTTTGATTGGAGCGTCATGATGGTCGCTTTTTTTTCCATCTCGGATCGCACAGACCCTTCTTCTTCATAGTCTGTCAAGTAAACAAGATGTCGGACGTTGGATTTACACTGTGAAATCGGAAGAAGGGCATCTTTATCAAATGCCTTCATATCTGCGTTGGGAAGGCCAACAATGCCGTTTGAAGGGCCATTGTCAAGTTGAACGATCGAGTCTTTTGTGCCCCTTTTTAAGTAGCCGATTGCAAACAAATGATTTCGAATCAAGCAGTTAAGGGTTGCTGAAGCAACAATCAGTCGAGGAAGTCCTGGAGAGCCGATTCTCGAGTCTGTATTCAAGTCAACTATAGCGGAAAGCAGACAAGTACCAGGTGATGGCTTTTGGCCATGTTTTTTTGGCGAGTATCGGGAAGGTGGCTGAAGGATCGAATCCGCCTCATCAATCAATATTCCTTCGAGGTATTTGGATGTCCATTTTTCTTCAATCAAATCCAAAAGGAGAGATTTTGGCGTACCGATAAGGCACCAGGTCTTGAATGTGTGCATGTGTTTTGCAGGAATTATTAGCTCGGACCATGCAGTAAATTGGTTTACAAGTTGAAGGGTCGGGAGAACGATAAGCCAGCTTGGTTTTAAATATTTTTGTGCCGTACATACAGCAGATAGCGATCGATGGTTGTCTATGAATCTCGTGACAATATAAACAAGCGAAATGAGGGACTTTCCGGTACCGGTTGCCGATTTTATAAAGATATTTTCGGCGCCAGCACATTGTAAAGCCGAAAATATCTTTTCTTGAAATCCCGTAAAACTGGAAATACAAAACGGAGGCCTCAACATGGCCGAAACAAGACTCGGAGACTTGATGCATTCGGAAATTGGAATGCAGAAATCAACGCTTCTGAAGCGCACAGGATCTGTGCTCACGCTGGTATGTGGTTCGGACGATGCAAAAGTAGCTCTGCTGGCTTTGCTGATGGCTTTTTTAAAGAAATGCTCCGGAGACAGATTGATAGCATGTCCCCGACATAGATAAACTCTGGAGAAATTCATGAAATTTTTAAAAATGGTTTTTTTGCACGAATTCAAAAGCTCCCCTCAATCCCCATCGACCCTTCGAATTCTTGTTGGTTCGCAGACGGGAAATGGAGAACTTTTGGCCTCAATACTATCCAAAGAGCTATATAGAAGATCGGTAATTTCTACTATTTCCCTGTTGTCCGAGTACAACATAAGTGAGCTCGTGGAGGAAAAGTTGGTCGTATTTATTGTTTCCACATTTGGTCAAGGAGAACCGCCACTCATGATGAAGGTGCGGTGTTTTTCTTAACTTTAGAAATTATGGAGCGTTTTAATGAGGAAGGATATATCTTCGTCTTCTCTCTCTGGAGTATCATATTCTGTTTTTGGATTGGGCGATTCTTCCTATCAAAAGTAACGCATATGATGCCTGTCTTTTAGATTCAATTATGTTTCCAAAATTCTAGACCATCGCCTTGAATGTCTGGGGGCGATAAGAATACTGCCCAGAGGCGAGGGGGATGAACAAGACCCGGTGTCTGGGATCAGAAAGGGCTTTTCGATTTGGATGAAGAGCCTTTTTTCTTTTTTGAATGTTTCTCACGCAGAGCCGATGAGCCAGCTTACATCAAAATTTCACACCATTATCGTTGACGGTCGGAGTCGGTGTAAAATAAATGCTCCGCACGAAAATTTGCTTCAATTGACCCGAGTTTCTCGATTAACCCCCGTCTCTCACTTTCAAAATGTCTCTACCTTTACTTTTTCAAGTAAATCTCGTCTAAGCTATCGGCCMGGCGATATCCTCAAAATATATCCTAAAAACAGCGACGAAGATGTTCAGTATGTCCTTTCTTTTTTTGGAATTGATAATTTGAGGGACGAGCTAATATCGGAAATCACTTCCCTGAGACCCGATGCTACCATTCCGACGCATGTCAACAGACTTTTAAAGACCAGGGAGACCCTCTCTGTGGAGGACTTTCTAAAATCCATTGTGCACATCTCAAATTGTAGCCCGGACCAGGTATTTTTCGAAAATCTCTACATGCTCCTAAAGCCACTTTTGGGACGAGTTCCTACGGTCGATTTGTGGATAGAAAAGTTCAGGGAATTGTCAGAAGATTACGAGGAATACCTGTATTATTGCTATAGACCAAAAAGGCGAATCATAGACATCCTTCACGAATTTTCCGTTTCTTCCGAGTTTTCACCAAACATGCTTGGTGATGGGTTGTCTGTCGATTGCCTCTTTGAAATATTTCCTTGGATTGTGCCCCGCCAATTTTCCATTTCCTCTGCAATGGAGAAAAACCCACATGATGTATCGATTACAGCAGCCATTGTGGAGTATCCTATTGGCCGGTCTGTTAAAAGGGGATATTGTTCCGCCTTTTTGGAGTCTTTGAACGTAGGCTCCCATATTGTGGGGCATCTGGAAGCCAATGTTTCTGCCCTTACATTCCCCGGTTTTACGTTGGGGGAAATCGTATCCCCAATCATCCTTCTATGCTCCGGCACCGGAATAGCCCCGATGAGAGCATTTCTTGAGCTTTGCTATGTCAAAATGCTGGAAAATTCACTCCCGCCAATCAAAATATACCTGGCGTTTGGTTGCAGATACCGACAAAAAGATGCGCTGTATTTGGACAGTGAAGAGTTTTTATCGCTCATTAGACACGGAATTCTTACGCTCTTTTGTAAGGGCTCCAGAGACGGGCCCCAACATTTGCCAAAGATATATCTTCAGAACATAATAACCGAGAATGGGGAATTATTTAAAGACCTCATTATACATCACAGTGCACGTGTGTATCTATGTGGGAATACAAAGCTGCCAAAAGCCGTCAGGGAATCGATTTCGAATCTTATAGGAATCGATCACATGAAAAGGCTCGAAAGCGAGGGACGATTCCAAATTGAGTGTTGGTGATTGAGGAGGAAGAGGAGGAGCATTAAAGCAACATTTTATTTGTAATTTTTAATGGAAGAAAAGATAATTACGGAGCGCACTTTGGCGACTTGGCCAACATCAACCATTTGGGTCCTTCTAATAAGCTTCGTAGTATTATTGTGTATGGATGTACCGGATGTTTTATTTAGGGTGCTTATTTCGGCAAAAAAAGCTGCTTGGATTCCTTTCAAGCAGGAAGCAGTATGTCCTCATCGTTGGCCCGATGGAATCTGGAAAGACGCGCCTCTTTTTGGAGATCCAAGATCACATTTTCAATATGAAAAGCCCAAAACTGCAAACCGTATGTTCGATGGCGGAAAATACGATTGACTCGCATGTTTCAATTGTTGATGTACCGGGACATTCGAAATTGTGCCCAAACATCATCCGAAAATATTCAAATGCCGCATGCTCACTGTCCCTTGTTGTGTGCATTGATATTTCCTCGCTTGCAACGGGACTAAAAAGCAGCTCAAGGTAATATTTGTGCGTTTCCAAACCTGTTAGGTTCCTTCTGCAAACCCTTTTGCAGGTGGCAGAGACGGAACTATATCCAAGGGCTAGTATTCCCATGCGGGTGTATCTTAATTTTAATTGCTTCTCGAAGGAGAACATGCTTTCCCCCAAGTTGGTATCAAGCCTTTTGGGTGCCGAAATGTAAGATCAATATTGGACCGATCTATCAATAGAACAAGACAGGCCAAGTTTCAGTTGGCATCCACAGAACTGTCCAGCTCTACAATTTCTGCAGACCACGGTAGCGTGGATGAATCGTTCTTCTTATATAGTCGATATCCTCCAAGCAAGCGGTCTATTGACGAAATACGAGCGTGTTTCGAAAGAGTCACTGAAATGATTTTACAAGATGTTCTGACGCCAGAAGGCTCCATACCGGCGATAACTTTCGGCCAAATCACTAACGAGGACAAAGATACGCTGTCTCACAAGCATCTGTTCGCCTGGATTTGGAAGAAATAGTTGATGTTATAAATTTTTCAATCGCCATTTTTTGTAATTTTTATTTTATGAATTCCGGAGACTCCGGTAAGCGGCCCCCAGCCGCTAGAAGGCCTCCTTCTATGGAGGAGCTTAGGGCTCGTTCTCGAGAATATTACCTGGAAAAAAGAGAATCTCAGAAGCTTCAGCTCTTGCAGGCATCAATAGCCGATGAGGAGGCTCTATTCGATATCGATCAACTTACCGACGAAGAAAAGGCGCAGTTTTTGTTGAAAAAGAAAGTAGCAACATTGGCTTCCGAGAAAATCATTCTAGAAGAAAAAGAGAGAGTTCACCAATATTCCATGCCCGAAAGTAAGCTTGCAGATTTGCTTATTTTAGACTATGTTGACGAAAAGGCTAGGAAGGAAAGGGAGCGAGCAGAAAAGGAGGCCTTTTCCAGATATGAAGATCGAGAATCTAAAAGGAAAAAAGTCGAGCTTCCTTCAAAGGTTGAAAACGAGGAGCAAAAGTGGGAGGCCCATCAGAGCGCCAAAGCTGGCGCCGTTGCCCAAGAAGAGCTTACCGAATTTGAGTATCTTTTTGATGCTGAGGAGCATATCAAGTTCATATTGAAATCGGTTTCTTCTCTAAAGCAAGACGAAAGCTACGATGGCGCGCATCGGAAGGTTGAGCACAAAGAGCCGAGCGAAAGTCAAAATGGAAATGTGCTTCCAATTGAAGTCTACAAAGACGAATTTATTGATGCCATGAAAAATCACCAAATCCTAATCGTGGTGGGAGAAACGGGTTCCGGAAAAACAACACAAATTCCGCAATATATTTTGAAAGCCGGAAGTGCACTATTTGGTCTAGAAGGGCAAGATGGCCAAAAAGCCTTCCGAATTGGGATTACACAGCCTCGTCGTGTTGCCGCCATGTCTGTTGCAGCGCGAGTAGCCTTTGAAATGGGTGTGAAGCTGGGGAGGGAAGTGGGATATTCCATTCGGTTTGAAGATTGCACTTCTGAGCGCACAATTGTCAAGTACATGACTGACGGCATGCTGTTGAGAGAGTTTCTGATGGAGCCCGATCTTGCTTCCTATGCAGTAATCATGATCGATGAGGCCCATGAACGTAGTCTACACACGGATGTGCTATTTGGACTGATCAAGGTATGTTCACCACATCGCGGCATAGTTGTTATCCTGTGGCATGTGCATTGTATTTTGGCGTGCTCTGCACTTGCATCGGACATGCACTCCATTTTGGGCCTTTCATTTCACACCTCCACACACGTATATTTATTTGATTAGGATGTGGCGCGGTTCAGACCCGACCTAAAGGTACTGATCTCCTCTGCAACATTGGACGCGGAAAAATTTTCGCGCTTCTTTGACGATGCGCCTATATTCAACATTCCTGGGCGAAGATACCCGGTTGAGATTTTCTACTGTCAATCTCCAGAGGCTGATTATCTTTCTGCATCTATCACGACCATCATGCAGCTACACATTTCCCAGCCACTTGGGGGCGATATTTTGGCCTTTTTCACGGGTCAAGAGGAAATTGAAATTGTGATGGAGTCCCTGCAGCACATTATCAAGAGCCTTGGAAAGCGGATTCCCGAATTGATTGTCGCCCCAATTTATGCGGCTTTACCCTCAGAGATGCAGGCAAACATATTTTTAAAGACGCCCCCAGGCGCCCGCAAGGTTTGATCCCTTTCCCCCAGGCCCATACGCCATTTAAACTCCATTTTCCTTTTCTTCTTTGTGGCATATTTTTGCCTTACCATAGGTCGTGCTGGCCACCAATATCGCGGAAACATCGATCACCATTGACGGGATTGTATATGTCATTGATCCAGGTCTTGTCAAGCAAAAAGAGTTCAATCCGCGCACTGGAATCGAGTCTTTGTTGGCTGTTCCTTGTTCCAAGGCCTCGGTTAACCAACGCGCTGGAAGAGCTGGGCGGGTTGGTCCGGGAAAGTGCTTTCGTTTATACACCCATTGGACATACGAGAATGAGCTGGAAGAGACCACGACTCCAGAAATTCAAAGAGAAAACCTTGCAAGCACAGTGCTAATGCTCAAGGTAACAAATTGCGGTTCCCGACACGCTAACTTTCAGAGCTTGGGCATTGATGACCTGATTAATTTTGACTTTCTTGATCCACCGCCTCCAGAATCGCTTTTGCGAGCCTTGGAAATGCTGTATGCTCTCGGGGCACTTTCAAAAGAAGGTACCTTAACTCGCCTTGGACGCCAAATGGCGGAGTTTCCGCTTGATCCCATGCTTTCGCGTACTCTGATTGCAGGAAATGAGCTTGGCGTTGGCGAAGAGGTTCTGTCAATCGTGGCCATGCTCTCAGTTCAAGCGGGGCTCTTTTATAAGCCTTCTCGTGAGCGGCGATCGATGGCCGATGAAGCGAGAAAAGCTTTTATTCGTACCGGGGGTGACCATCTCTCGTTACTTGCGGTGTGGGAGGGCTGGATGGAGGCCGGGTTTTCCACAGCCTGGTGTTATGATAATTTCATCCAATCGAAATCGATGAGAAGGGCCAGAGATATCCGTGACCAACTTGTAGCATTGATGGAGAGAGTTAATTTGGGAGGTGATCTAGAATCGAACCCCAACGACACGGTTTCCATTCGCAAGGTACGATGGCTTTATCATAACTGCCTGTAGGCATTCGTTGCCGGATATTTTTACCATGCCGCCAGGATCAATCGAAACGAGGATGGATACAAGGCCATTAAGTCAAATCAAAGCATCTTTATTCATCCTTCCAGCAGCCTTTTTCCAAAGCGGGAAACAAAGAAAAAAGAATCAAGGGAAGACCAATTTCGTGGCGGTAATGGCCCTTCCCCGCCTCCAAAGTGGGTTTTATATCACGAGCTGACTCTGACTTCCAAGGAATACATGCGACAAATCATCGAAATACAGCCAACATGGCTGTGCGAGGCTGCACCCCATTTTTATACAGAAAAGGAATTGGAAATTGACAAAAGTCGACCTCAACGCTCGCGGGGTCATTAAATCTTGGCAATCAAGGTCGTGTCGTCTTTCTGAGCCTTGAAGCCTGTCCTCGCTTACTCCCGGTTTCCAAAGGCATCCAAATAAATATCCCGTATAGCCACTAATGCACCGCTACAGTGTGGTAGCGCAGGGTTGATATTGGTCGCTTTGATGTAATTTCAAACTTACTTTTCTGGTGCCAAATACGGGCCCCATTGATCAAAGTTTGATGGATGCCTAAAATGCAAGCCGGAAATGCTTGCTTTTACAAATGAGTGTCCTGACAACATCAAACGGAAACCCAGTGGAGGATAACCAACACTCGATAACGGCGGGTGCCAGGGGACCAATGTAAAGGCATAAATGATTACTTGCGACTGTAGCCTAATCCAAGATTTCCATCTCATCGACAAGCTAGCACATTTTGATCGCGAGAGAATTCCAGAGCGCGTTGTTCATGCAAAGGGCGCTGCGGCCCATGGATATTTTCAAGTTACCTCGGCAGAAATTTCAAAATATACACGTGCCAAGTTTTTGGAAAAGGTTGGCAAGAAAACCCCTGTTTTCGTGCGTTTCTCCACAGTCGGAGGAGAAAAGGGGTCCGGAGACACGGAGCGAGATCCCAGAGGATTTGCACTAAAGTTTTACACTGAAGAAGGTATGGATCATTTGAGCCTGATCCCAAACTAGGCAACTGGGATATGGTTGGCAACAATACGCCTGTTTTCTTTATCAGGGACCCATCAAAGTTTCCAGGCAGGACGTTTGCCCTTACCATTAGATTTTATCCACACGCAAAAGCGAAATCCAAAATCCAATCTAAAGGATCCAGACATGTTTTGGGACTTCCTCAGTTTGGTCCCCGAGTCGATTCATCAAGTGACGATTTTGTTTTCCACTAGAGGGACCCCTGATGTAGAATGTTACAATGGTAATTTGTAGGGCTATCGCCATATGGATGGGTTCAGTAGCCATACTTTCAAGTTGGTTGACAAGTCTGGAGCTTACCATTTTGTAAAGTTCCATTTCAAGACGGATCAAGGGATTAAAAACCTCACCGCAGAACAGGCAACACAGCTTGTTGGGTGTGACCCTGATTATGCAACGAGAGATCTTTTTATGGCCATTGAGAGGGGCGAATATCCGTCTTGGAGTGTATTTGTGCAGATTATGAAGCCTGCCGATGCTTTAAAGTACAGATGGAATATTCTGGACGTGACCAAAGTATGGCCTCATAAAGACTATCCCCTGGTGCCGATCGGCAAATTGGTTTTGAACAGAAACCCTGAAAATTATTTTGCTGAAACCGAGCAGGCAGCTTTTTCACCCAGCCACTTGGTGCCGGGTATTGAACCTTCTGCCGACAAGATGCTTCAGGGGCGGCTCTTTTCATATCCCGACACCCATCGACACAGACTTGGGCCGAATTACACCCAAATCCCCGTTAATATACCCATCAACTCAAAGTTAAATCACAACCAGAGAGATGGGTTTATGGCGGTCAATGGCAATTTTGGATCGCACCCAAATTATGAGCCAAATTCTTTTGGGGGTCCGCATCAGTTGGGCCCTCAGATAGGCATTTCTTATACTCCAGATGAACTGCAGGGGAGGATCGCTCGTCACGTTATGTCGTTAACGGACGATGATTTTGCACAGGCTGGAAACCTTTATAGACTGATGAGTGAGCAAGACAAGACCCATCTGGTCAACAACATTGCCGGCAATCTTCAGAACGCAAAAAAATTTATTAGAGACCGCCAATTGGCCCACTTCAAAAGAGCCGACCCGGAGTATGGGCAGCGAATAGAGAAAAAATTGCAAATGTTGGCTCGCAGAATGTGATTAAAAATAAAACTACATTGATGAAACGCTCTGTCTTGCATTAATCATTACCAGCGACATGAATGTGCACACAATTGAGAGCATTATCACCATCAGGAGCACTGGAAACAGAATCGCATAGTATGGATCGGGAAATATATTTCTAAACGCATGGTCCTTATCAAAGAAAGGCAGAATAATGATCCAGATCGTGTAGTAGATAAAAAAGATTGAAAGCAAACTTAATATAATTTGACCAATTGTCTGGTCTTTCATTAAAATTAAAAACATGCGTAATTTAATTGCTTATGCCCCACAAAGTATATGAAGTTTTAAGTACCTGGGGCGATCACACATTTGTCCGGAATTCTTCAGAGAGGATCATACTAGGTAGGCGAACCAGCATTTTCATATAACCAGCCCACTCGTGCAAGCTTCTTGAGGAGCTGGACGACTACTTCCAAAGTTCAGCCAACGAAGACAACCGGGCACGTTTGGTGGCAGACATTCTAGATGGCGTTTCTAATTATATGGGCTCGCTTAGCCCAATTATAAAACATACAGGAATGGTAACATCATCGTCCATTATTGCATCATTACTAGCTTGTTGGCCAATATTGGGCACATTTGTATACAAAATCTTCGCCCTTAAGCGCCGCAGATTCGCTGCCCTTTTCTTCGATTCTGCGTAGAGACGATCCAGTGGTTGCCTATTTCCTACACTTTCTGTCGGATCTTCGGAAAATTCCGATCGATCAGCTCGCTAGCGAGCTGGAGATTCTGAAACCCACAGGAACCAAGCAAAATCATGCCGATCGCAAAGAAAATCTGTTTGACCCAACAAACGAAGAGTTTTTCCCAACAAAACTGCTGCCAAATGGACGTCTAGCTCGTCCGCCAAGGTTTTTTACTTTTTTGACGGCATAGGTTTTTAAGGGATTCCCTGGCAAGTATTTCCAAGCTTTCTGGAGAATCTGATTCGTTGAAAGAACTCCTTGCATTGCTTCCGACTCAGATAAAAAAGGCCTCAAACATTCTTATTGAAGACATTTTGGATCAGTTGCTTAGGGCCTTGATATTGATGCCGAGGTCTTTTTCACTCAATATTGAGCAAGACCAAGATGTTGAACACTGCCTTTTGGTTTCAAAAATCATCGAATGTGTCCAAATTGCGGTTTCGCGTTCGCCCCTCTTATCGATGACGTAAGAAGGACCGCTTGATTTTTCTCCTCATAGTGTATTTGAATGTATCCTTAATGATAAGCAAAGTTTAGATCTTAGTGACCGCCTATTCATCCTCAATTTGCTATCCTCTCTTCCCCGATCAGAAGCGGTTGGTGTTTCTGACTATGTGGGTTACGAACTCGCATTTAAGGGCACGCGTCACCATTCGGTTCCAATTTTTGCAACTTATTGCCACTTGGTACACTCTTTGGTGGCAAAGGCTTTGACAAAAAGTCTGAATCGGGATCTAGGGTGCAACTTTACCGTTGACATTGAGGATATATTCCTCGATAATGCTATAAAATCACTTGGCTACATATATTCCTTCTCGACTTTATCGCCGTACTTTATGCAGATTTCGGCGGGCCATTGTGGGGTCTTTGAGGCACTGCTTCAATCAAAACGAGTAAAAGGCTCCCTCGCTATCAGGAAAAGAACATACGCAAATTTAGTTTTGTTTTTTGACACGCTTCTTTCCGTGCCCATATCGATAAGACCATCGCTTGGTCCTATCATTGGAATCCTTAACAAGCAATCCCATGGTAAATGACTGCATTTTAATTGTAGTAGACCATACCGAAACAGATCCGTTTATGTTGGGGTGCATCAAAACACTACAAATCACCATGATGAAGTCAATTTCCTATCCGCGCCACGATGCGAGAAATTGTCCCGCGAATTCAAAATAGCTGTCAAATTCCAAGAATGTTCGTGTTAAATTAATTACTCATCCATTAGGTGATTCATACCTAATTTTTAACTTATTTTTTCAAGATCGCTTAAAACGATGAGTCAAACCATTATTATTGAAAGCCATAAAAACTGCACTGACACGCAATTTGACACTGCTCCGAGCCAAGGAGACAATGCGCTTCCCGCCATCACCAACACGGCTGGGTCCCTCGACGGCGCATTTCCTCTTGCAAGACTGCAATCCCAATTGTTCACAAAGTTCGAGGATATTTGCTCCAAGCTCTCGATGCTTATCAGCGAAGGAACCCTTCGAATGGAAATTGAAAAGGCAAGTATGTTTGGGTTGATTTTGTAGCTACCTGTGTTTGATTGCTCAGCACTTGTGGGTGAACGTGAATGGCAACGGGCATGCACGCTATTGACAATGATATCGGTTGCATACGTGAATGGAAATTCTACCACCGATCCCCTTTTAACAGTACAAGAAATTTCACACATAAAATGTAGCTTCTTCCAGATAACCTTTCCGGGCCGTGGATCGAGATTTCGAAGCACTTTGATTTCGAGCCCGTTTTAAATTATGCATCGAGCGTTCAATTCAATTGGCATTCTCCCACCAAAAAGGACATAAATTCTGTCAAGCTTGAGTAAGAGCTTTATTTATCAACCATAGAGATATTGAGATATGCTCGACAATTACCGGATCTTTGACTGAAGTGTGGTTTTATCAAGTATCTCTCGCCATAGAGCTGGAATCTATAAGAATCGTTCCAATCATCAAAAATATTTTTTCCATTTTGAATTCAAATCACAATGAGGCCAAGGAAAAAATAGAAGTGCAGCTTGGAAATCTGCTGAATTCTTTAAAGGAAATCGGAATGCTTCTTGAACGCATCCACGAGCACTGCGTGCCCAGCGTCTTTTATAATGGCCTTCGTCCATACTTGTCTGGTTGGAATACGCCCGGTTTTGACAAAATGGGCGGGCTGAAGTTTGGTTCTGCCCCAGATGCTCCAATTTACACCAGCACGGGAGGCTCTGCCGCCCAATCTCCACTCATTCAAGTATTGGATGCTTTGTTTGGTGTTCGGCATCTTCCTAATCCAGATGGATCCCCCAATTACTTGTATCTGATCAGAAAATACATGCCCAAGGCCGATCGCGACCTTATTTTGTGGGTTGAGAGTTGGGGCGAGGGGTTTAAAGACTTTTGCGTGGAGAACCAAATTTATCATCCCTTCATTGATTGTCTTTCTCAGATGATTTCCAATCGACAATTGCATGGCGGCATTGTGTGGAAGTTTATCAAGCAGGAAGCGATGAAGCTCAAAAAGGACACTGAAGCCGTTGGAACAGGCGGAACGCCGTATGAGAAATTTCTCAAGTCAATCATTGGAAGCACTCAGATGCTCAAGGATGCTTTTCAAAAGAAATTCGCAATTTTGCATAATTAATTAAATTTAAAAACTAATTAAAATAGGTCTGATCACCACTGGCAATCAAGTGCAAATTTCCGGGTGTGTTCAGAAATCCAAACGATCAATTGAATTTCTGAAAAGCCTGTTTTCCAGAAGATTTTTTGTTTTCGAGGCGGTTTCTGCCACCGTTGGAACAGGGGTGGATATTTTCCAATTACCTTACGAAAGTAGCAATTGCTTGTACACAAGATACACACGTTACTTTTAATCGACTGAAAAAGGTATTCGCATCACTGTTCGAAAGATAAACTGGATATCGATTTTATTAAACATCCAATATAGCAATACGGCAAATCGAAATGCAGCAGCGGTCTGTAATTTCTTGAAAATTAAGTTTAGGGTACGGTATTGCTTTGCGATTTTTCAAGTTTGTGATGCTTTTGTTGAGAGCCCCCAAATTTGCTTCGTCAGCGACAACAGCAAGCGCCTTCGGTTATCCTTCCAAACTATGCAAAGCCTTTTATAGCTACGGATATGCGCCAAACTTTTATGTCGGATCATATAGCCTTCCGATGAACACGGTAGTTAAATTTGTCCCCCAGCAGCAAGCATGGGTTGTGGAACGATTTGGTAAATTCTCCCGCATCCTTGATCCCGGACTTGCAATCCTATTTCCGTTCATAGATCGCATTAGGTATGTCAAGACCCTTAAAGAGGTTGCTGTAGAGATCCCCACACAATCGGCCATTACTCAAGGTACACAATAGTAGTCAAGCGATAAACTGTAGACAATGTCACCATCACCATTGACGGGGTTCTGTATTATCGTATATTTGATCCATACAAGGCCTCCTATGGAATTGAGGATGCTGACTTCAGCATCAGCCAATTAGCCCAGACCACCATGAGGTCTGAAATTGGCCAAATGTCTTTGGATCGTACGCTGGCAGAGCGCTCTCAGCTAAACCATAATATAACGCAAGCTATAAACGAAGCTGCGGAAGCATGGGGCATAAAATGCCTACGATATGAGATTCGCGACATTCATCCGCCTGATTCCGTTGTCAAAGCCATGCATTCGCAGGTTTCTGCGGAGCGCCAGAAGCGAGCGCTAATCCTGGAGTCTGAAGGTACAAATATGCGTGGTGCGTGACGCTTTTTACATAGGCCAAAGACAGTCCGAAATTAACGTTGCAGAAGGAAAGAAACAGGCCCAGATTTTGGCTTCCGAATCTAATCAAATAGAGCAGATTAACCATGCCACCGGTAACCCTTTATGTTGGCCGTATTTTTAGGTGAGGCTGAAGCCATCCTCTTACGAGCCCGAGCCACTGGCGCAGGGATCGAAGCTATTGCTGGCGTATTAAAGAGCACCAACGTAGATGGAAACAGTGCCGTCTCTCTGATTATCGCAGAGAAATATATGGATGCATTTGGATCGCTCGCTAAATCTTCTACGACACTGATGCTTCCCGGCGGCGCCTCCTCGCCAACTTCAGATCCGGCTAGCTTTGTTGCTCAGGCAATGGCCGTCTATAACAATGTCAAGAATGCCTCGCCCTCGAGCAAGAGTTAAACTTTTAGGGTTGAAATTAAAATTTATTTTGGTGTGGTTTTGTAAATTACGAGGTGATCTTCGCCGAAATTAAGTCAGATGATCTTTGTCGACGAATACAATTGACTTTATGAGAAATATCAAGCAAAACTTTTTTACATTATGATATGATGGAGTTTGGTACTTGTTTTCCTGATTCTTTTCTACTTGAGCTGGCCAATAGAAATCGTTTGTCTGGTCATCAGAACACTAGTAGGACCATAACTACACAACAAATTCAGTCTTGTCCAAGCTTCAATCTTTTGCTAATGCTGAGCGAATTGATGCCCACACAAACGGATGCGCCTGGTACTGATGGCCACTGTAGTGCCATACAGGGCGATGCTGCAAACAGCAACTTTATGGATGCATTCATCCACCCCGATTACTTTTATAAAATTTTCTCTCGGAAACGGGGAAGACCTTCCCTATCGAAGAAGAAGGATTCGGCCCAGTGTTCTTCTTCAGATTCAAACGATGATGATTCCGTTGATATGGATGACTCACTCTTTGAAACGATGTCATCCAAACATCGTTCCAAAAAAAGCTTGACCTCGCAGATAGCTAGAGAACGAAAGAAGGGCTGGGAAAAGTCATTGTTGACGCTCTACTCCAACCTCTACGCCAAAGTCAGTGAAAAGGAAATGAGAGTAAAGCTATTGCAGGAACAGGTGTCGATGCTCCGAAATTTATTAAACTCATCTCATACCAACCCTGCATGATCACCGCTGCATTTCTATTTTGTCATGAAGCCTGGGGCAGATTTGACTAAATCGGCGCCCCCTAAAATAGCATAATTAAATAAATTCAAAAGAGCATCAAAATGCAAAACATAGGCCCTAATTGGCCAAATAATACGAGTGTGACAGAATATTGACATGCGATGGGGTGATTGGGCGATACCTTGTGGTCGAAATCCATGAAACCTTGCAGGATGGACCCTTTTATATGCTCTGAATTTGACGAAATTTGGGCAAAATAATGGCAAAGCTCGTGCTTCATAAGAATGTCAAATTCGGCCATCATTTGGGCATGCAGGGAGATTTCGGTTTCAAGCTAACCACATACATCGATGATTGGGTGCATACCTTTGAGATGGTTTCCAAGGAACGTCGAAGGGCCGTTTCAACGCTAGCCTCCCTGTCAAGCAGCGAGGACAGGGCAACAGACAGGTTGCGAAAGATATTCGATGGGCTTAGAGAGGAAGATATTCTCCGCATATTTACGCTTTGGTCTTCAGAAGACAACAGCATTTGGCCTTCGCTTCTAGTTGAGGAGTCAATGTTCGCCTTTTCAGTAGCAAGCGTTCTGCGGAGGTTTTCCATTTTGCTGGAGTGGGCACGCTTACATTCAAAGATCGACTGTTAGCGATATGTGAACGGAAATTGCCTGCTTACCTTGACAGAATCTGAAAATAACACCAACTCCTTCAAAAGATGGGAGCGTAGAAAAAATATTTTCCCCTAAAAATGAAAATTCCGAACTTGGTACGATGTCGCCGTTTTTGAGGCTGAAAGAAAACAGCGTTTCCACAAGTGAATCTTCTGTTTTTTTATTGCTTGTTTGCAATTTCTGAAAATTCGCCAGCTCAGGATCAAGGCCAGCAAGATTCCAATTGGTTTCTGCAAGGACATCTGAAAGATTTGTGCTGCATTCCGAAATAACTGGCTTTAGCAACATAAATTACCTCCAAAAGATTTCGACAAGGTCTTGCATATCTTATACAAGGAATTTAAAGAAGCTCGAATCGAGTCGTTGGTTGTTTCGGCCTTGTCCCATAGAAAGTTATAGACGGTATCCTGATCAAATGGGGCATCGGTATTGATAAACGTGGCATTGTTTCTGGCCAGAAGCTCTGGCAACGGAATTGCCGTGGTTATAAACAGATGGAAAAGATGCAACTTTCCGATTTTCGGATGCAGCGCAAGGCGATTTGTAAAGATCTGCAGAATCGCACAACGCCGCTCCAGCATTCCTTTATCGGGCGACCGTATTTTAACTTGATGGGCGTAATCAACTTGTGATGAAAAACGCAATTTCCTTACGGATGGTGTGCTTCTCCGGAATTGGCGGAAACAGAATGTTGGGATATTTTTCCATCAGATAGCTTCTAAATCCCTCAAATTCTGAATATCTTCTTCTGATGGATGGGCTTTGCTTTTCATGAGTCTAAATGTAAGAGACAAAATGTGCCTTTAGCGTGATTTTGTACGCTATTACTGGTGGGAAAAAGGTCGAGTTTCTTATCGGCTGGTATCCATTTGTGATAAGGGATGAAAAAGACTGTGTCGAGACAGCGCCCGTCTCTACGTTAACCGGAGGCGCATCAGTCTCACCTTCGTCCAAATAACCATATGATAATTCGATCATTGGGTCGTCATATATTCGATTATGGCCCTTATTTGTTTCAGAAATTATCTCGCCGATTTCGCAGCAATGGCCATGCGCCCCCGAACCACCCTGATGTATAGATTTATCAGTCATCGCAATGGAAGTAAAAATCAAAACTTTATTCAGGGATTAAAAAATTGGGATTGGCGTCTAAAATATTAATTAGCTCGGCACATCGATTTGTCGCCAGCATGGGTCAATGGCAAGAGGTGATCATTAAAAGAGCATCATAATGATCGCCGAGGCGGAAGGGAGTATAATTAAGGTCAAGGATGTAATTTCGGCTCCGTTAGAAAGAAATCGGGCGCACCTTAAGCAGCAGCGTTTGTATGTTGAAAGCATTGCCTTTTTTGAGATAGCCTTTCGAAATTTCGGAAGAAAAAGCCCCCTTTCATCGATAGCATTTATAAGATCGTTTGCCAGCATTGGAGATAAGCCCACAACAAAGGGATCCGGGTTATTTTCAAAAAGTTGCGGATCCAATTGGTGATAGATATATTCAAAAAATGAGACAACATCTACGAACAGAGGATAGAATGATGGTGGTAAGGTCGAGCGGTTCTTGGATATTTTTAATATCCCTGGAATCAAGCTGGCTTTGTGGGACGGAAGTAACCCCTTCGAAATGAATAGCCAACTGTCTTCCGAATCGACGGCCTTTTCAAGGAGATCTTTTGTGTAGGGATGATCCCAGCATCCATTAAAATAATCTCGAGGCATGCTTGACCAAGAGATGGCTTGTAAAACCTTATCAATGTCCAGGTTATTAATATGCGCAAGCCTTTCGACTTCCGTAAAGCTTCTTACATCTGTGAAGGATGCCTCACTGTTGGGAAAAACAGCAAGATTGATCAAGCAAAATGTCAACACATAAGCAATAAAATTCATAAAAAATTTAACCGCCTTTAGGATGAAGAAAAGGGTTACCGTTAAGGCACCAATTAATATTGCCATCATCAAATACTGGGGTAAAAAGGATGAGACCTTGATCGTTCCATGCAACGGATCCATATCAGCAACTTTGGACACCGAGGCCATTTACACGTTGACCACCATTTCGTTTGATCATTCTATCCAACACGATTTCCTTGTACTGAACGGGGAGGAGACAAGCCTCTCATCCAGAGTGTGCAGGCTGATTTCCATGGTAAAGCTAACTATTGATCTTTGCTTTTGGATTGCTTTTGTGTTGCCTTTTTTATGTATAGATGGACGCCATTCGCAAGCAAAAATACCAACAAGAAGGAAGGCTACCTATATCCATCGAGTCTTTTAATAATTTTCCGACAGCAGCGGGAATTGCATCCTCTGCCTCCGGAATGGCCGCTCTGGCTTTTGGATTGTACAAGCTTTTCGAGCTCGAAGATCACATCTCAGAGCGGCAATTGACTCAGTTGGCCCGCCAAGCGTCAGGAAGCGCCTGCAGGTCAATTCCTACAAGTGGAGGATTTGTGGAATGGCATGGCCCCACCACGGAGTGGCCTGACAAGGAGAGCTTTGCAGAAACCATTCCGGCCTCAGAGGAGTTAAATGAGCTTGTCATCCTTATCTACATTTTTTCATCATCTAAGAAACACATTTCATCGACAGAAGGCATGCGTCGTAGCGTGGAGACATCTGCTTTTCTGAAATATCGCACCTTGAATCTGGTCCCTGGCCGACTTGCTCTGGCTAAGGAATTGATCGCCTGTGGGTCCTTTTCCGCGCTTCTGGAGCTCATCATTAAGGACTCGAATTCATTCCATGCATGCTGTTTAGATTCATATCCGCCAATCATATATCTTTCGTCGCTCTCGAATTCTATAATTGATGCAGTTACCGAGTTCAACGGTGCTAGTGCAGCCAGAGTTGCCTATTCATTTGATGCAGGCCCCAATGCATTTGTCTTCCTTCGAGAAAGGGACCTTTCTGATTGGATGCAATTTTCTAGAAACAAAATTAGCCCTGAAATCCAGGTATTCCGGAGCGGACTTGGAAAAAAAGGTGCCCATATTGTCTCTTTCGAATGATGGTGGAAATTATTTATAAAAATCAATTTGGGGAGCGTGATCGCGAACGTTTACGGCGGTCGAGGTAGTGTCGATGCCTCGAATAATGGTCATCGTCGTCTTTTTCATGTCCACGGTAGCGCTCACTGGCTCGAAGCCGTCTAGGAGAATCATTACGGATATCCCGTGTTGATCGAGAGCGTCTCAAGGACCGATTTGGAGCATGAGGAGAGGCTTGACGGCTACGTGGTCTCTCTGGTGAGCATGATGGGGACCTGTTTCTCCGATGCTCGGTAGAGTTTGGCTTTTTTTCCCGATTCCAATTCTCGTACGTGTCTGTGGTATCATTTTTCTTTTCCACAGTGATTGTCTTTTTGAAGAGCTCATTTAAGGTTGGCGGGACTCCATTTGGAGTCGTTTCCGCCTGGATGAGAAGATTCCATAGCACTGACATAAACGTGGGCGCCTTTGCCTCTAGAAAAGGGGTGATTTGTACTTGGACCATCCTGGGATCGACTGTCGGCTGTTGTAGGAAATTCATAATTAGCGAGTTTAGAATATCATCCTCAACACCGCCAAGCATGGATGTTGTCGTTAGGGAGATCCATGGCCGGATGGATTCCAAATTCACGCGCTTCATGTCTATTTTTTTCGAAAAAGACGCCGGGAATTTCATCGATGCCATGAGTTTTCTATCCTTATCCGAAAACCGACCATCCTGCTGAAGGGTGGAGCCGGTAAAATTAATTGCCATCACAAAAATTTTACTTGATTTTTGTGGAAAAATTGGTTTAAATTCCCGGGAAAATCGATCCATTTGAACATTATATTAAGACCCCCAAATATTCCGCTTGGCTATATTTGCTCTGCAGCTGCGGCCATTGAACGATGAATTTCGTAGCGAACCAATAAAGGATACGCCCCGATATCGATAGATTACATACTCGTGCAAACGATTCGACGTATATGACGAGGGGATATCTATTTCCAGTAGTCGCTCGTAGCAGCGATCCAATTATGGCAAGTGGCACGCAAATGGCAGGGCCATTGCAAATCACCTATGGAGTTAGCTACCACCGTACTATTGTTTCTGTGCAAAAGATTTTTCTTGCAAGCCATATTGATTGCAGGAGGAGCTGTAACAGATGTGGGATGCTGCTGAGCAGCGAACCACCGACAAAACGTCCCCGGGTAATTTTATGGATCTAATTGCGATTGAAAAAAGTAAGCGTACTTTCAGATTTACAGACCGAATCCACTTTTGCTCCAGTAATTTTTTTTCGCTAAGAATATCACCATCAGAGCCGATCACAGCATGCACAGTCTTAATCCCGCTTTGCTCAAAATCAAAGTCTCTCATCAGTAGAAGCAATTCGGAAGTATGGCCCCCTAGATTTGATTCAGGCATACTAGTGAGTACCGGAGCCTAATACGAGCGTTAAAGACGTGGCTTTTTTGGATGAAGGCCTTGATATTTTTTTGTACAGAACAACTGCTGCAAGCAGTATCGCCGCGAGTGATAAAGAGGAGCAAAGAATTTTAAATTTTATTATGTACATCTGAAGGGGTCAATGCTTGTGTTTGTTCTTGTGCTTGCGCTTGTTGCGCAGCACCATAGTTACTAAGCTGCATTGGGGAGTTACAATTGCTACATACAACTGAAATCAGATGACCTTTCCTAACCCGAAAGAGGGGAACAAAATATAGAGAAAACCAAGTGTCTTGCCTTTTAAAATTCGGCTTTTGCATGTTTCTACATCCAAAGCAATATTGCAGCCTTGAGGGATCATACTCCACCGGTAGGGTATGAACACGGCGTTCCCTTGACGTGAGTCCCGCAATGATGCAAAAACAACTCATTAAAAAAGAAGAATGACACCCTGTCATTGGTGCTTATAATAAATTTTAGAATGAAATCCAAAATTGGACAATCGATGAGGATAGTGGCGGAGAATGCACATCAAATAGCGTGCCCTCATTTTAGGCTGATGTACCACATAAAGAGAATGTTTTGCAATGGTAGAAAAATATGCTACCATACGTTCCCTATAAATGGCTCTTCAGCCCCTTGAAAACATTGATGAACTCGAGTAATTACAACAAGTGCTTGAGAAGGAGAATCGTCATTTTTAAAAGATAGCGTCATCCGCACAAAGCGGCTTTCAAAAGCATATTTTTTTCATTCCCATTTTTTTGAAAATCGAATTGCAAGAAGAGGCCCGTTCGAAAATTTTGAGGCAATATGAGGAAAAGTCGACCATTGAATTTACCCTGATGGATCCTAGAAATGATACAGAATTGGCATCAATGAAAGAAGGTATTAGATCAAGTTGACCGCAAGTCGAGCAGATATTTGCGCTTGAAAAGCCCAATGAAGCACTCACGGCGTATTGACAAATTCCATAGAGCATCCTGGTGTAAATTAATCGATCAACCAGGCAAAAGAGATGCGCATTTCTGGAAAGTTGTGGAAGCTACGGCCGATAGCCCAATATTCATTTAGGGACCTGATATTTATGTGTTTTTTCATCTCAATTCAGTTTCACTGCACGAAAAAAGCGTTTATTTCAGCTAAAATAGTTGGAAAAATATTTCTTGATCTTAGAAAATGAATCCGATACATCGACCACGGTATGAAATGAAAATAAGAGCGGAAAATGCACAAAACTGTGCAATTATCTTCTAGCAAAGTATGGGGGATCTAGATTCATTTATCTGTCAAGTCATAGGGCCAGCCAAAGGACATCAAATTTCAGGGTTTAGCGGGGTCAATGTTCTCGAGCATATAATCACGAGGTACATATTTGAATTGGCCAGTACCAAGATACCCATAAACCAGTAAAATATTGTTCACATTGCTTCCATATGTAATGGAAATAGCTGGCCGTGGTGGGGCTTTTCTGGATGCAATAATGAGGAAAAATTATGCATGCACAAAGTTCATAGTTGAAAGAGACCATATGCAGGATCTGGGAGAACAGAATATTCCAAAAAGATGTTCTATCAAAACTAAGAGGTCAAAGTTTTCATATGGATGCGATATTTTAGGGAATTTGCAAAGCTTATGAGAATCAGCTTGCGATAAACATTTTCTCATTTAAAGTGCTAAGATATCCCCGCCTTCAGATTCATGTCTAGAAAGACTGGATCAGACAAACACATACAGCATAATTGGTAAAAACAAAAAGAAATTCTTGAAAACATAATTGAGCCACTAGACTGGTTTAGATAGCCAGAAATCGCAAAGCTATTAAAAGCGGAGCACAGCATTCCCAAATAACGCCGACTTTTTTATTTACAATCGTCGGTTTCTTGATGGAAAGGGTTTGGCCGCACTTTGAGCGAGGGGTATTAATTAAAGAAAATTGCAAAAACGACACACTAAAATACGGCGCAACTGGGCTTATTTCAAGTTGCAACGATTTTGGGAGAAATCCACCAAACGATAAAATCGCAATATAAAAATTAAAACAAGTTTTTTTGTGGATGAATGTTTCTAGGCTCTGCTTGGGACTCTATTCCAGTGGAGCCTCATTGAAGGCCTGGGTTTCTGCGCTAAGGCTGAGTGATATTCCAGAAAGTATTTTTCATTCTTCCTGCTTTAGAGGAATTTTTTTTTCGGACTTCTCGGAGTTCTGGACCGGGCGGGCAGCATGTAAATACAAGTGGGAATATCGATCTCAGTTGAATTTATCTCAAAAAAACT